TTCTATAAGACCAGACTAATGAATTAAATAAGAAAATTATGGGGAACATAGCTCCAGCATTCTTTAAATAAGGGGTTGGCAACTTATAGCCCATGGGGTAGATGCCGGTTTTTAAAGTTTTATTGATACACAGCCATGCCCTTTTGTTTACTTATTGTCTGGCTACATTTGTACTATGGCTACAGAGTTGAATGGTTGTAAAAAAAAAAAGACTATATGGCTTATAGGCCTGAAATACTTATTGTCTGGCTCCTTAAGAAAAAAATTGCTGATCCTTGTTTTAGAGCTTTAAGAGTGGCACCAAATTTTGCCATTCCACTTGATTTACTACATTGAGTAGAGGCAATTTCAGAGACTTCTTGGACTTCCCCACTATAAAAGCTCTTACTCTATAGACCAAGGACCCAATATGGGAGTTACATCCACCATCAAGTGTGTCTGTCACTGTTACATGTTTGCAGACTGGGGAAATGGCCAGTAGTTGGGCTGATGGATCCATTGGATCTTGGCTAGGAATTTGGTTTATTACTTGGTTCCCATATGTCCTCACTCTCTTGAATCCATGATACTTGGAGTCAATCAAGTATCAGTATCACCTGGGACCTTGTATATAACGGACCTCAAAATGTTTGAGTGTTCCCCTTTCCCTAATGCACAGTTACTCAAGTAAATGGTCATAGCTCTTTGGGGAGGGGGGAGGAAGGAATAGTAGAATCATTACTGCATATATTTGCTAGCATGTTGCAGAGTCCTCCCTTTCAGGAACCTGGCCTTTTCTTCAATAAATAGCTGGAAATATATCGTAGTACATCCTACAGGACCTTGATACAAGCTCTGGACTCTCACCACCTCTTTTGTACCTCATCTACAATTATTCTCCCCTTTGCTCTAGTCACACTGGCCTCTTGTCATTGCTCACATACTAAGTTTGTTTTCTGTACTTGGAGCATTGCTTTCCTACGTGGCTTATGCCTTAGCTGCGTTCAAAATATATTTTCTTAGAGAGGCCGTGCCCGATCACTTCTACCAAAATAAATACTTTAATCCATCACTCTGTATCCTCTTTAGTTTTCTTCATAGTTCTTATTTATCATGTATCTGTTCATTTGTCTCTCACTCCCTGTCATGACATCCATAGGGGCAGAGATTTTTCTCCTGCCTTGTTTACTGACTTTTGTAGAATAGTCAGTAACATGTAGTAGGCTCTCCATGAATATTTGTTGAATGAAGGCATATTGTATTTTGAGAAAATTGAAATATTTCATATGAAAAAAATGCTTATTTTTTACCATGTCAGTAATACCTGTGTTGATGTATAAATTTTTGGACATACATCATTTAGTAGAACTGTTACATGGAAATTAATGAACAGTGTAAATTTCAATGAAATTTAGTTGAAAATTGCAACTACTGAATAATAAATGAAATTAATAACACATGAGAACTATGATTATTAAGTATTTACATAGGTATGCATGTATAAAAAGTGACAGGGAAAAGGAACATGATTACTATGTAAAGTTATTTATGGGAGTATTGTGGACTTTGGAAGAACTATTTCCTAAATTAATTTAGCCTCTTTTAAAGAAAAAGCTCTGGATTTTACCAGAAGTGAAAATTTGGACCTCAGAAATCAGATGAATCTGTGTGACCTTGGATTAAATAACTTTTTTGTATCACACAATTGCATAGGTATAAAATGAATCAATATTGATAAAACCTACCTCATAGACTTGTAAGTATTAAATGAGATTAAGTATGTAAAGATAAAAATTAGCTTTTCTCAACATTTCATCATTATTTAGGAGTATTTCATATGCTTGTCAGATTTTAAGTTTCTAAGTAGCTCAGTTTCTGAAGTTCTAAGTAGCTCTAAACATAAATTCCTTTATCTTGAGTCAATGTTTCCCAATTTATATATGTAAATTAAGAATTGTTAGACATACATAAAACTTTTGTTTCAACAGAAATGAATTAGAGAAGAGGTATGATTATTTAAATGATGATATGTTTGCTAAATGAGTTAATTACATTTCAGAGGGCCAGTATTTTTCCTTTGCAGGATATCTAAATTATCCTTAGGACTTAATTCTCAAACATGTTAGCACATGGATAAACTGACTTTTTTTTTTTTAAGTAGCTAACAATCTTGTTTATTTCTATGCCTTCATCTAATCAGATAGCTTTCCTATAATGGAAATCTTAGAGAAACTGGATTAATATGACTGCTATTTTTCAGTTATTTGACTACTCTAAAAGAGACTTTTATAGGTAAAATGTAAAGTCTTTAAAAATTTTTTAATACCTATTTATATTGTTTTGTGTTACTGCTTGATGTTAATTTTTTTCTTTTAGCAATTAGTGATACTAACAGTCATAAAGGTTATATGGTTTTCTTATAAAATATGAACCAGTTTGAAAGTTGATATTGGATTCTATCTACAGATAGGCATGTGACAGTGTATCAGTTGTCTGATAAAATTATTGGTTGGTCATTTAATTAGAATGTTTATAAATATAAGTAGAAATTTTAAAAGACATGATCAGTGATGTGCATATGCCTTCGTGTGGCAGTTTTTACCTTTTTAGCTTCACCTATTATCCTTACCATCTAACTTTAGGTACAAGGAACTACTTGTAGTTTCCCATAGTTGCCATTCAGTTTTACATAGCAATAGAACAGAATGATTTAAATCTCAGCTCAGCTTGTGTTACCTTGGTTAAGTAATTAACCTCTCTTAACCTTTGTTTCCTCATCATAAAGTGGGGGGTAAAATAGGACCTTCCTTACAGGTCTTATGAAGAGAGTAGTAAATGAGGTAATACGTGTAAAGTGTTTATGTGAGATGTTATTTTTGTTGGTACATATTCCTGTTCTTATCGTGATGGTTATTCTTAGTCTGACTGAAATTCATCCTCTCATTCCTCCTCTCACATCAGACTGGTGAATGATTCTCTCAAGTACCAGTGTGGTGGTGGTGGTGGTGATGATAAAAAAGAACAAGATTATTATCTGTTGGCCTTAATTGTCACCTCTCATGTTCCTCCAGATGTGGTCCTTGTCATCTAGTCCATCTGCTCAGTTCCCCTAATAGGCTAAGTTCTATCTACTCTTTCCCTAATGGTCGGGAAAAATATTTGTTCCATTATTGTCTGGCTGATTTTTCTTCTTTATTCTAGTCTCAGTTTAAGTGTTGGTCCTCAGAAAGTTTGCCTGATGTAATGCCTACTTCTTGCCAGTCTTCTACCCTTTCTATCTTCCTATCATGTCTGTTCCTGTTGTATAGTCTTAGATCCAGGACTTTTCTTTCGCTTACATTTATCACAGTTGTAACTAGTTATGTCTGTACTTGTTTAATGTTGGCCTCCTTACCTAGAAGATCATTTCTGTGAGGCCTTGCAGGAACCCTGTCTATTGAATTAACATCTGTATTCTTAGTGCCTACTACTATGCCCAGCACATAGCAGTTGCTCAGCAAAATTTGCTGAATTACTAAATACCGCATTTCTGTTGCCCAGCTACCTGTTGAGGTAACAACTTAGCAGTATTGATATTAAAGTTTGCACACATTCTTAATTTTACTTATTATATACGATTGCATTCTTTATTTATAATTTTTCCCCTATTAGGCTGTGAGTTTCTTGAGGTTACAGTTTTTTAATATATCTTTTTATTCCAAAGCCTAATGGAGTGCTTGGCACTGGAGATTTTATTGTTCAGTGAATGTTTATCAATGAAAATATGTTTTTAGAATATGATTAACAAATGGAAAATTTTGCAGATACTAGAATTCAAACTGGAATCACCAGCAAATGCTACTAGTTTAAGTTACATGCTAAGAGGGCGGCAATATATGATACCCATTTGCATGAAAGAAGGTAGTATGAAAAATATGTAAATTAGTGTGTATTAGTTTAAAAAATTCATTGTCAGCTGATGGTGAATATTTGAATGTTTAGTTTCTTGATTGGGTCTTCTACTCTAATATTCTTTTTTTTTCATAATTAATGCTTTTTTCCTGAGAAAATTTAGAAAATTTTATCCTGCTTTTTTGTGAACATTTTTTCTCATTGCATTTAATTTTTTTCAGCATGATTTTAATAAGTACATAGTTTTCATCCTGTAAGTTTGTCATAATTTTTCAATAATTATTTTATTGAATATTTATGTAAACAATTTTTAGGTATCATACATAACACTCAGTGAACATTCTGCAAAAATTGTGTTCATATCTGCTTTTCCCGTAGAATTTTAAAAGTAGAATTACTGGGGTGCCTGGGGTGCTCAGTCGTTAAGCATCTGCCTTTGGCTCAGGTCATTGTCCCGGGGTCCTGGGATCGAGTCCCACATCGGGCTCCCTGCTCTGTGGGAAGCCTGCTTCTCCCTCTCCCACTCCCCCTGCTTGTGTTCCCTCTCTCTCTCTGTCTCTCTCTGTCAAATAAATAAATAAAATCTTAAAAAAAAAATAAAAATAAAAGTAGAATTACTGGATTAAAGGGTATGAGCATTCATAATACTGTTTATGTTATCAAATTGTTACTTGTTGTCCTCCAAAAATACTGTACCTGTTAACGTTTCTAATAAAAATGAGTGTCTGAATTTCAGTTTACCCTCTCCTGTATTGCATATTATAATTACCAAAAAACCACTTTGTCAGTGTGTTCGAGGTTAAAAAAAAGTGATAATTTGACCTTATTTGATTGTTAGTGAGGCCACATATGTTTCCTGTTGTATGTCTTCTATAAATTGTGTCCTTTGCTCATTTTCCCAATGGGATGTTCTATCTAGTCATAATACTGTTCTAATATTTTAATATCCTAATTTTTATTAATTTGATTTTTTAAAATTAATAACCTTGTATATTTTAATAATAATGTGTTTAAATGGTAATTTAATTCCATTTTAAGCTCTCACATAGTAAAACCTGCTTCATTTTTGCAAGTAACATTAAGATATCTTCTATGAAACTTTTTTAAAGAACATTTATTTTGTAAACTAGGAGCCTTTTGTGGCAGATGAGTATATTGAACGACTTGTGTGGAGAACCCCAGGAGGAGGCTCTAGAGGGGGTCCTGAAGCTTTTGATCCCAAAAGGTGAAGTAAAAATGTTTTTTTCCCCATAGATCCAATCTAATACAAATTTGTGTTTGGAATAAAGGTGACTATTGAAATTCTTTCCAAACCCCTTTTACAGCCTGGGGTTTATTTTCTTTTATATTTCTTTTATTTTAGAGAAGGACTTTAACTGGTGTGAGGGGATTTTATTGTGTTGTAAGAATTTAATATTTTCTCCAATTAGTAATATACTAGAAAAGGTTGGTTATATCTCTAAAATAAAAACATGTTGAATATGTTGTTTTAAGTATAGTTGTAAATTAAAGGAACAGAAAGTCACTGTTTCCTGGAATGCACACTGTTATTTTTATATACTGTATAAAATTTTTATATCATATATATTAAAAATATATATTTTTTATCTTTTTGACTATTTTCTATAAAATTGATTTCTATTCTGGAAGGTAGTAGATATTCTGGGTGAGGTTTTCATTCATGTCAAAGATAATCCCTAAGATGCTCTCGAGAAAATTAACATAATCATCCCTACCTTAAGGAATGCTTACTGATACTTTATTACAAGTGAACTGGCCGGTTCCTAATGATTAATCATAGATGGATTGATACATATTCTGATTTTCCTCTATTAGGTTATTAGAAGAATTTGTAAATCATATTCAGGAACTACAGATAATGGATGAAAGGATTCAAAGGAAAGTAGAGAAACTAGAGCAACAGTGTCAGAAAGAAGCCAAGGAATTTGCCAAGAAGGTGCAAGAGCTCCAGAAAAGCAATCAGGTAAGCAGTTAAGCTATCAATAGTTTACACAGGTTATCTTTATTTCCTTCCACCATTAAGTTCTTAAAAAACTCTAGTCAAATAATAGTAACTGTTGAGGTTTCTCAACTGTTCCCATACCTGGGGAAAAATGTCAATGAACTGTTATCAGGCACTCTTAGCACACTGACTTGCTGTTGATCAGTGGTTTGGGATCACGGCACTCCCTTCTTAGGTTGGAGTGGTATCCAGTACAGTCACAGTGGGCAAACTTTGAAGAATGACACTGTAGCAGACCTGCATTTTTAGGGGCTCATGATTAGCTTGGATAGTTAGGTAGTCATTTGTATTCTCATTAAGCATAAAACAGAGTAATACCAGAACAGCTGTTGCCTGGATCAGATTTTTCCCTAATCTTGGAAGTTTTACAGAAGTCATGGGGTATATACCCGTGTGAGAACTGTCGTATAACTATGGGGAGAGTGGATACAGAATTCTTCCTCAATCCATTTTGGAGTAAAATCAGTAGCCCACCCCTGGGATAAGTAGGCCAAACTTCTAAGCCATTCTTAAATCCTAAACTGAATCTGGAACCTGTGAAACCCTTTTACAGCCTGGGCCTGATCTGGGACTTGATTGCCCTTTGTAAGTATAGTTGATGGAGTCCTGTTTAGCATTGCTGCCTCCCAGGGGCTGTTCTTAGTGTTAGGTATTAGCAAACTGATTTCTGCTCAAATTTTATTTATTTGATTTCCTTCACTTAAGTACATATGGCTGTGAAAAAATACTTAATAAAGTCAGTAATTTACATAAGATAGAAAATGTGTTTTTGTGTAGTCAAAGTGATAGATTCCAAATACTTATAATGCAGTTTTCTCTTGGTAATAATAATAGTATTAATAGTTAATCTAACAAGCTTTGGAGATAGTCTGTTCTGCCACTTACTAGCTATATAATCTCAAACAAGTTAACTTCCCTGTGCCTCAGTTTTTTCCATCTATAAATTAGGTTGTTATAAGGATTAAATAAGTAAATACATGTAATATGCTTAGAACAGTGGCACAGAGGAAGTCCTTAGTGAATATTTGCAGCTCCCTCCTCCCTCACCTCTTAACTTAAAGTTAGAACAAAAGTGCCATACCATACTGAATTATCAGCAATTGTGTTATTGGCAATTCTAAGGCATTCATTATACATAATTTTCAAAAACCACAGGATAATCTGTGTACTCTGGAAACAAGGGAAGAATATATTAGGAAGTATTGTACCTTTGCTTCAATTGAATAATTGTTATAGTCTTTTATGTTTTCAAAACTGGGCAAGAACCATCTTACCTTATTTCATTGCTCTTCGGATACTTAAAAATAAATGTTAAATGCTCTTTTTAATTAGTGCCTTTTATTTCTGACATTTTTGACTCAGTAGCAAGCAGATTGTTCCTATCACTGGTCCCTTTGACACTTAGTTCATTGATTTCAGAATCATTGTTTAGGACTAAATTATACTGGGAATATTGTTAAACAGGATACAATTTTATTGCTTAACAAATGTTCATGATAAAATATTACTTTAATAGTTAAAGGCATAAAAGTGTGCAACTTTGTTAAAAAGTTTTCAGATCATGCAGTGCTAATGGGCATAAATTGTTTCTGTAGTTTAGCTCACATATAACTTCTATGTTATCTTTAGTTACCTAAGTTAGAGAGTAGAGATGAGATTGGTGGTCTAGTTTTGATACGAATTCACTTATAAACTGGGTTCTCTGATTGTATTTTATGCTTATGCGCATTTTTCCCAGGTTGCCTTCCAACATTTCCAAGAACTAGATGAGCACATCAGCTATGTAGCAACCAAGGTCTGTCACCTTGGAGACCAGTTGGAAGGGGTAAACACACCTAGACAACGGGCAGTAGAGGCTCAGAAATTGATGAAATACTTTAATGAGTTTCTAGATGGAGAATTGAAATCTGACGTTTTTACAAATTCTGAAAAGGTGAGTACTGTCAGAAGGATAAAAGCACCTGCATCATTAATAACAATGCCCAAATTATGAACTACATTTATTACTTTCCAGTTATTACTTTCAAATCACCGAGTAGCTGACTTATTAAAACTTTTTATTGTTCTGAAGTGTGTTTAGTATACTTGCCTGCAGATTACTGATGAAGTTTATATATTCAGATTTTTAATTGCAGGATTGTCTGGAATTTTTGTTTATGAAATTATATGTGAAAATGCTGAGGTAACTGTGTTAATAAGTATTTCTTTTCCATTGTTGACTTTTAATATTAACAAAATTTAATAGTTATATTCCATTGGGGGAGGATATAGTCTGACCTAAATCACTGATAGGCAGAAGTATCTTTCTGCAAAAGGAATTCAGAGCTTCTAATTTCTGTTACTTGAAAAAGAGTGCTTATAAAGAATTCAAGCATAGTTTGGACTAAAGAGAATTGAAAAATCTGAATTGTTTATGTTAATCCTTTTCTTTGCATTAGTCACTTAATACTGGTACATGGTATTGGCTGTTCTCCAATCTTGAAAGGAGGCTATTTAGCTGACTTTCTTCCTCCCAGGGGGGAAAAATCAAAATGCACACACAAAAAAAGACCTTCGTATAGGTAGTATATGCATATGGTAACATTGTCCACTAATAAATAAATACAGTCTCCCTGAATTATTCCGAGTTTACTCCATGGAATATTTTTGATAGTGGAAAGTTAAAAGTTATGTATTGTTAAAGTTTACATTGAATTAAGCAACACATTTTTGTGAGTGGGAACTGTATAGGCTTATAGAATTTATAATTTTTAGAGAACTTTGAAAAAACAGTTACATATACATAATTCCTCTAAGGAAAAGATAGTATTTTAAATAATGAGTTTAAGCAATTATATTTATATTATAAAGTTGAATTGACAGAGTAACATTAAGATTATCATATTTAAACACTTGTTAAACAGTGGCAATATCTAGCTTTTATTAGATTTATGTGATTTTTAAGCATAAGTGTAAATATACATACATACAGACACACACCCCAATGCTTGAACAATGAACTTTTTCAGGATAGTTTTTATGTTTACTAAATATAAACATATATTTATAATATAAAAGTATATATGCATATTATAAATATGTTTTAAATATGAAAAATTATATAATTTAACATTTATAACTTGGATTACCTTGGATTATACCTGTAGGATTATGTAATCTATTTATGCTGTTATAAACCAAATGCAGATATTATATCCAATGTGGGTTGTCCTGTTTATTTGAATGCAGCTCAAGGCAGCCATTTAGGATCTAGGGAAAGAAAATATAACTGATCATAAATATTTTTTTTTTGATCATACATATTTTTAATCTGATTTTTTATTGCTTGCAATATTTTATATCATGAAATTAAGTTCTTTACACTTTTTTTAAACATTTCAATTATCCTCAGGTAGTTGTATAGTTCTTGGTATTATTGTTACCTCTTAAGTTTTGAGGTTTTAATTGAAAGAAAAAGTCTTCATATTGCTAGTTCATTCACTTGGTCACTTAGCTATCTGTAATTTTTGAGGTGCAAGTATAGACTAACAGCTTTTAAGTGAATTCCTCTTCTCCTTTGCTTCACTCTTCTCTATATTCCATTTTCTTTCATTTTGTGTTCCTTTGTTTTTTTAAGATTTAGTTGTTTGGGAGAGAGAAAGAGAGAGTGTGCACACATGTTGGGGGGGAGGGGCAGAGGGAGAAGCAGAGAATCTCAAGCAGACTCCCTGCTGAGCGCAGAGTGAGGAGCCCAATGTGGGGCTCGATCTGATGATGCCGAGATCATGATCTGAGCCAAAACTAAGTCGGACACGCAACAGACTGAGCCACCCAGGTGCCCTGTGTTCCCTTTCTCTTATATTTTATTCCTTTTTTCCCCCCGATCGTCTTGTTTTTCTCTCATGTCTTCCATAAGTTTTGGGTTACTGTTTGCTAATAGTGAATCATTATTTTTGGCTTGGTACTATTGCAGTTAATTACACTTAGGAACTCATATATGGTATTAGATTGCTAATTATCAGATAAACTTCTGGCTTTCTCAGTTTCTACCTTCCCAAAGGAAAGAAGAGCCAGATCACCCACATAGCTAGGGAAGTGTATGACTGTGGAAGGAACTGAAATGGGATAAGATATCCACACATCTTCCTGCTCCATAGTCATTTTTGTTTTTTTAATCTTTGTTTTTCAGAATCTTTTAATTTTCTTCCGTAGAAAAGACCTATTTTATGTCCATATTATATATTTCCTCTTACCTCTGTTCTTACAAAATGTGTTAGTTGTTTTTGTCCCTAGAATCACACCTTATTGTGCTTCATGTAGATAATGCCTGATGACTCTGATTATCTTTAACACTGTTAGCATGGGCGGTCTCTCACCTCACTCTACATGTAAGCAAATTAGATTAGATTGTGGATTTGGCAATTTCTGTACTTACTGTTATAGTACATTTTAACTGATGGATGACTGTAAGAACTGTTGTGCTTTAAATGATTTTTACAAAATAATTACCTATAGAAGTTCAGTAAAATCAAGTGTTATTTGTTACTCTGTTTCCACTACATTTAAGCAAAGTTTGCAAACAGCATACAATGGGGACTTCCATCTCTTAAAAGATAAGAACACATTCCTGATGGAAACAGAACTGGCTGTGGACCAGGCAAGTCTTTTCTGAAGGGGATATTGGTGAGGAGAAAAGGATGGATATTGCCAGTCCAACTAAATGGCATGGTGAAAAGTGATACTGCAGTAGTACCTGTGCCCATGTGCAGCAGGATTGAGTGAGTGATAACTGAAAATGACAGTGACATGCTGACTAGGAGAGAAGAGATAATGGAAACCGAAATGCTATATTCACTATTGTTTGACAACAGTGCTATCCTTTCTTTGGCCCTGCTGTTATCCACTGTTGCTTGCCAGACTTCACATGAGTACATAGTTAGAAAGATCTATAGTAATGTTTTTAGCTCTTCCTTCATGTTTTTAAGAGTCTCTTTATTTTTTAGGTAAAAGAAAGTGAATGATTAAAAAATCAATTACTGAAGTATGACAAAATAAATCTCAGTACTTACGTGACATTTAAAGAAAGTGAATATTATATAACTCCCCTACACATTAGTAAGCGCAGTCACATATTTGCATTTTAAGAACTTTAGACCCTTGACCTTAGTCCTTTAGTTTTACAACTTAAGTACACACGTTTTTGTACCATATTTCATTCAGGAGACTTCATATTAAATTCTGTCTTTGCTTTTAGAACAAGTTTTATAAATATATTTATTAAATGACAGGTGTTTTTATTGTTTTATGCATTTAGCTTAAAGTGAGATATATGCAGCAATATAATCTGAATTATTTTCATATATCTTATTTGTCTTTTTTGGGTACATAAACCAGAAGAGACACTACTTTTCAGCAAGCAATGACTTGAATTTTTTCCAAGTAAATTTGATCTGCAGGTTTCATTGGGAAGGGACTGTGGTATTATAAAACCACAGAATTTCAATATCAGAAAGACAAATGTTTATGTTTTATTGACTCATTATTAGTGATATCCCAAATGCCTTTCTGTTGCTCGAAAGGTTTTATTTTTGTGGATTTTAAAAGAAAATTGTTGGAGTGAGGGTCTGTGGGCTATTTTCAAGTATAAAAATATTTTTGATATACATAAGGGCTTTTTTAAAAATTATTGCTTTCAATTTTTTTTGAATAGATAAAGGAAGCAGCAGACATCATTCAGAAGTTGCACCTAATTGCCCAGGAGTTACCTTTTGACAGGCAAGTTTATTTCTCAAGACCTAATTTTGATATGTGCTATAATTTATAGATAAAGTTGTATTTTTCCCTGTATGGTTTTGCTTATTCAACAAGAATTTATTGAGTACCCCCTTTGTACAACTCATAGTATATAATAGTTAATTGAAAAAATATAGTCTCTTAATACCTACATTTAATGATATACCTTGAAATACTTTCAATCCTTTATCTTTCTTCTGAAAAGAAATTGCTGAAGGAGAATTTTGAAATTTACTAACGTGATACTTTGAATTTTCATTTTTTGGACTTTGATAACCTAGGTGGGAGAAGACAGGGAAAATTTAAACATTGGGTCATTCAGCTGTTTTTTCTTATATCTAGATGAGAATTCTTAAACTTTTGGGGTTTTAGACACCTTTGAAAAGCTGATGAAAGCTATAAAGTTTCTTCAAATAATTCAGATACACACAGATTATTATTTGCAACTTCATGGAATTTCAGACTCTTAGCCTATCCACAGACTCCTCCCTAGAGACATCAGGTTAAGAAACCTTGCTTTAGATGCAAGGCCCTAGGGCCATTGCTAAGTCAGGTATTAATGGTTTCATTTTAAAAGAAACTTTATGGAGAAGGAGATTTTTTTTCATGATTTCCTTTAGTCCATAGAATGTCAGACTTTTTAATAAAATCTTGGTAGTAGTAGTTTCCTCGTATGAATGTGTGAAAAAAGTAAGTCTTCATGTAACAGACAATATATCTGTTACTACTTTTGGCAGTACTTGGGGATTCTTGGGTACAGGTAGAATATAAATGTATTGCTATACTTAAAGTTTGTGATACAAATGTAGGGTGAGAATGAATTCCTTACCCCCAAAATATATCTTATTTTATCCCAACTCTGAATCATCATATAGGATTAGCAGTGATGGCCATGTCATTTAGCGATTGCTAATAATAATCTCATATTTTCCCAGCACTGTGAATCATGATTTTTTAAATGAATAGTTCTGTTTTATTTATTAAAATAGTATTTTACTAAGGTCAGAAAGATATTCTCATATGTTTTATAAAGAAGCATTAGTCATTAAAACATAGTTAAATGGGAAAAAATCTTTTGTTATATTACTGCAATTTATTGAAGAGATTTAGCTCATAATTTGTGTTAAAATATACTTTGAGGGGTGCCTGGGTGGCTCAGTCAGTTAAGTGTATGCCTTCGGCTCAGGTCATGATCCCAGGGTCCCAGGATTGAGCCCGTGTCAGGCTCCCTGCTTGGCAGGGAGTCTGCTTCTCCCTCTGCCCCTCTACTGCTCACTCTCTCTCAAATAATAAATAAAATCTTTAAAATATATATATATATATACTTTGAAATAAATTAGAAAAGAAATGGGATCTTCAAAATATAAATGCTTTAGTATATTGCTTTATCCTCACCAAGAACTATCATACCCATCTCCTTGATTGATTGATTGATTTTTAAAGTTTATTTAAGTAATCTCTACACCCAACATGGGGCTTGAACTCCCAACCCAGAGATCAAGAGCTTCATGCCATAGTGACTGAGCCAGCCAGGCGCTTCATGAGTAATGATTTTTAAAGTCACCAGAAAAACCTCTCTTTATCTCATTTCAGAGTTGGACCATTTGCTTAAGTGGGTAAAATGTGTGGCTCACAATAGGTGCTTGATAATTATTGGATAATCTCTCCATCCTATTCTACATATACGCATCTTCTTTCACTTCTCAGTTACATACATATCTTACAGTTTTGTTTTAGCCTCTCTACTGAGCCTTGGAATTGAATATATATCCTAATTAGATTTAATTTTTTCAGAAAGATCATATGGCCTTACATGCACTCTCTAATCCACCATGATGTTGATACATCAATTTTGTATAACTCTCTAAGTTTTTATTACCTTCTTTATCTGTCTGTGCCATCTCTTTTGCCAGCCACCTTCCTCTCTCCAAACTGATTGTATAGGATCTCTCAACATTAATTTTCCATGATGTACTTTCTTCCTTGATATTTAAGATTTTAAAAATTTCTAGTGTATGGTAGTATGTGATATTTTAGTTTCTGAATTTGCAAAGATTGAATGATTAGTCTGTAAGACACGTTGCTGGGTCCTTTTTATGACTTCTCTTTTATTTTTCATATACTTATTTTATCATTCTTTTTTGTTTAAATAACAGTAATGGAATTTTGTATGAAAAAATCCCAACAGAAGGGGCAAATAGACAAGTATCAAGGAATTTAAAATGTTAGTGAATGTGTTGAGACAACAGCTCAGTGTTGGGGCTGGTGGAGTTGTCAGTGCCTCATATAGAACTTCTCCCTCTTTAAGAAGTTATTGTTATTCAATGTGAATTTCATAAATGAAAACCAGCTACCCCATCTGAATTGTCCAAATTCAGTTTTGTTACCTGGCCTGCTTATTGTCAGTACTCTTTCCCTTCTGGCTGGCTGGCTTTCTTCCTTTCTTTCCTTTCTTCTCTTTCTTTTTTTTTCTTCCCTCCCTCCCTCCCTCCCTCTCTTCTTTCCTTCCTTCCTTTCTTCCTTCCTTCCTTATGATTACCTTTAGTACAAAGGGTTCCCTTATACCCCCCAGGCTCTTTTTCCCCTTTTATTAACATCTTAGATTACTATGGTACATTTGTCACTACTAATGAATCTTATCATTAATTCTTATCTTTCAGGTTTTCAGAAGTAAAATCCAAAATTGCAAGTAAGTTTTTAATAGTATTTAAATAGTATTTAAAAGTATTTAAAATAGTATTAGTTTTGAATAGATGATAAAAATACTTATGTAAAAGAAAAAAAATAGTAAAAGGAGAGATAGTGGGAACAATGTCATCCTCCCACCCCATCCCTGAGTTTGATTCCTCTTCCTTGAAACAGTCATTACCAGTTTCTTGGGTATTCTTCTAGAGTATGCTCTGGATATATAAGCATAGGACATAAATCACACATGTATATATACACACACACACATCTATATATGTATCTATATCTATATAGAGAGAGAATTTAGTTCTACTCTCCCCAGTTATTTTAAAATAATTGGCTAGCATATACCATGTGTTTTTAATTTAATGATACATCTTGGAGATTGTTTTATATCCATACATGTATCTCTAAAATAGGTTCTTTTTCTTAAAAGCCAAGCTCATATGAGCATTTTGGTACCTATATGACTCCTTACATGATTAGTTTTATTCTTTCCAATCTTTGGATTATATTTTAAGTAGGTCAGTCTAGGTCTCTGGGAAAGCCACTATATTTGCAGGCCCCCATGGTAACCTGAGTCACGTTTGGGATGCCACTGCATAAAAAGTTCAAAGAGCCACCTGTTTTCCCAGAAGTGTTATCATAATGACATAGATAGTTGGACTTCCTGGCACTGTTTTTGATTACTATAGATTAGTCCAAAGTCAGGTTTTCATTCAGAACATTAGTAACCTCAGTAATGTGGTGAATCAGACACCATATATTATCTTAAGGTGAGATTTGGTGTTGAATCCACCATTGTTCATGGTAAAGACATCTGATCTCTAGTAAGGAGTTTTATAGTCCCCTTCACCCTTTCTGTAGCTTTAGGTTTAAGATTTTTTCCTATCTCTTACTCTCAGAAATGACATCTAGAGGTTTATCTCAGTCATCTGCTTTTTTAAGTAACAGTGGTAAATGGTAATCAGACCATGGGGGTTCAGCTGTTTACTGGTTGGGAAGATTTTCTTGTCTTGAAAATATAGATTTATATATCATAGTATATTATAAGGGCTAGATTCACTGCCTGTAATCTAATATTGTATTTGTAAGTCTTTAAAAAGAAAGCTAGATCCATAGTCATTATATTTGTAAATAATTCATATGTTTGTAAATAACTTGGATACCTTGAATGTGTCATTGTAGATGAATGACTTTCTTTTTATGTTTAGGTAAATATCATGATTTAGAATGCCAACTGATTCAGGAGTTTACTAGTGCTCAAAGAAGAGGTGAAATCTCCAGAATGAGAGAAGTAGCAGCAGTTTTGCTTCATTTTAAGGTAAATAGTAATAAAAACGAAGTTTAGTTTTCAATATTGTGGAGATTATATAAATTCTATATAGGATAGTCTCTGATTTTATTATAGTTGCGTGACTATATCACAGTGATAATTTTTATTGTTTTGAACAATTTGAATATACATTTCACATCTCCATAAATGTTAAATTTTAGGTATTTAATATTTTATATTCAATAATATTAATATTTTATCAGTTAATTTTTATATAGGTTGACATAGAAAAATCATACTATCTTCTTGTTTTTTAAATTATTTTTTCAGTCAAACATGTACAAAATAGGTCATAAGCAAGAAGATTTAGCCTTAAATATCTGGTAGGATGTAGGAACGAGAGAGTAGATGGAATGTAACTAGTAAAAGATTTAAATTAAATTCAGAGGATCTCAGGTGGTAATACAAAGGAATATTGTCTTCTGGGAATTTGAATTAGGGAAAGAATCCCTGTATGGCATTGTATTTCTACAAAGAAGGTACTTAAAGAAATAGGGTTTTCTTAGTTTCAGACCACGATGCTATGAAACCAAAGTCAACCACAAGAAAACAAATACATGGAAGGTAAAGAACATCCTACTAAAGAATGAATGGGTCAACCAGGAAATTGAAGAATTAAAAAAAATACATGGAAGCAAATGAAAATGAAAACATGACAGTCCAAAACCTTTGGGATGCAGCAAAAGTGGTCCTAGGAGGGAAGTATATAGCTATACAGTCCTTCCTCAAGAAGCAAGAAAAGTCTCAAATACACAACCTAACTTTACACCTAAAGGAGCTGAAAAAAGAACAGCAAATGAAGCCTAACTCCAACAGGAGAAGGGAAATAATAAGGATTAGAGCAGAAATAAATGATATAGAAGTAAAAAAAAAACCAGTAGAACAGATCAACAAAACTAGGAGCTGGTTCTTTGAAAGAATTAACAAAATTGATAAACCCCTAGCCAGACTTATCAAAAAGAAAAGAGAAAGGACCCAAATAAATAAAATCATGAATGAACGAGGAGAGATCACAACGAAAAAACGATAGAAATACAATTGTAAGAGAATATTATGAGCTATTATATGCCAACAAATTAGGCAATTTGGAAGAAATGGATAAATTCCTAGAAACATATAAACTACTAAAACTAAAACATGAAGAAACTGAAAACCTGAATAGACCCATAACCAGCAAAGAAATTGAATCAGTAGTTAAAAATCTCCCAACAAATGAGTCCAGGGCCAGATGGCTTCCCAGGATAATTCTCCAACATTTAAAGAAGAATAAATAGCTATTCTTCTGAAACTGTTCCAAAAAATAAAAATGGAAGGAAAACTTCCAAACCTATTCTGTGAGGCCAGCATTACCTTGATCCCAAAACCAGACAAAGACCCCCACTAAAAAGGAGAATTATAGACCAATATCCCTGGTGAATGTGGATGTAGAAATTCTCAACAAGAATGATACTAGCTAATAGAATCCAATAGTCCATTATAAGGATTATTCACCACCACCAAGTGGGATTTATTCCTGGGCTGTAGGGGTGGTTCAATATCTGCAAATCAATCATTGTGATACACCACATTAATAAAAGAAAGGATAAGAGCCATATGATCTTCTCAATAGATGGAGAAAAAGCATTTGACAAAATACAGCATTTTCTTGACAAAACCCTCAAGAAAGTAGGAATAGATGGAACATACCTAAACATAATAAAGGCCATATATAAAAGACCCACAGCTACTATCATCCTCAATGGGGAAAAACTGAGAACTTCTCCCCTAAGGTCAGGAACACGACAGGGATGTGCACTTTCACCACTGCTGTTGAACATAGTATTGGAAGTCCTAGCCTCTGCAATCAGACAACAACAAAAAAAAGGCATCCAAATCAGCAAGGAAGAAATCAGGCTCACACTTCACAGATGACATGATACTCTGTAGAAAACCTGAAAAGACTCCTCCAAAAAACTGCTACAGCTGATACAGAAATACCGCAATGTCACAGGAAATAAAACTGCAAAGAAGTCTGTTGCATTTCTATAGACCAGTAATGAAGCAGCAAAAAGAGAAGTCAAGGAATTGATGCTATTTACAATTGCACCTAGAACCATAAGATACCTAGGAACAATCCAACCAAAGAGTTAGTAAAAGATCTATACTCTGAAAACTATAGAACACTTGTGGTAGGGGTTCCATCGTGTAATGCTGAGCACTCTGGACTCTGAAAACTATAGAACACTTGTGAAAGAAGTTGAGGAAGACACAAAGAAATGGAAAAACATTCTATGCTCATGGTTTGGAAGAATAAGCATTGTTAAAATGTCTGTACTACCCAAAGCAATCTGCACATTCAGTGCAATCCCTAGCAAAATAACACCAGCATTTTTCACAGAGCTGGAACAAACAATCCTAAAATTTGTATGAAACCAGAAAAGACCCCAAATAGCCAAAGGAATGTTGAAAAAGAAAACCAAAGCTGGTGGCATCACAAGCTATATTACAAAGCTGTCATCATCAAGACAGTCTGCTACTGACACAGAAACACATAGATCAATGGAACAGAATAGAGAACCCAGAAATGGACCTACAACTCTGTGGTCAACTAATCTTTGGCAAAACAGAAAAGAATATCCAGTGGAAAAAAGACAGTCTCTTCAACAAATGGTGTTGGGAAAATTGGACAGCCACATGCAGAAGAATGAAACTGGACCACTTTCTTACACCATACACAAAAAAATTCAAAATGGATGAAAGACCTAAATGTGAGACAGGAATCCATCAAAATCCTAGAGGAGAACACAGGCAGCAATCTCCTTGACCTCAGACGCAGCAACTTCTTATTAAATACGTCTCCAGAGGCAAGGGAAATAAAAACAAAAATGAACTATTGGGACTTCAAGATAAGCTTCTGCACAGCAAAGGAAACAGTCAACAAAACTAAAAGGCAATGAATGGAGGGCGCCTGGGTGGCTCAGTCGTTGAGCGTCTGCCTTCGGCTCAGGTCATGATCCCAGGGTCCTGGGGTCGAGTCCCGCATCGGGCTCCCTGCTTGGCAGGAGGCCTGCTTCTCCCTCTCCCACTCCCCCTGCTTGTGTTCCTGCTCTCACTGTCTCTCTCTCTGTCAAATAAATAAACAAAATCTTTAAAAAAAAAAAAAAAGGCAATGAATGGAATGGGAGAAGATATTTGCAAATGACATATCTTATAAAGGGCTAGTATCCAAAATCTGTAAAGAACTTACCAAACTCAACACCAAAAAAACCCCCCAAAAAATCCAGTCAAGAAATGGGCAGACGACATGAACAGACATTTCTCCAGAGAAAACATACAAATGGCTAGGAGACACATGAAAAACACTCCACATCACTGGGCATCAGGGAAATACAAATCAAAACCACAATGAGATACCCCTTCAAACCAGTTAGAATGGCTAAGATTAACAAGTCAGGAAACAACAGATGTTGGTGAGGATGTGGAGAAAGGGACACCGTTGGTGGGAATGCACACGGGTGCAGCCACTCTGGAAACGGTATGGAGGTTCCTCAGAAAGTTAAAAATAGAACTACCCTATGATTGAGCAATTGCACTACTAGGTATTTACCCAAAGAATACAAAAACACTGATTCAAAGGGGCACGTGCACCTCGAGGTTGATAGCAACAATGTCCACAATAGCCAAAATATGGAAAGAGCCCAGATGTCATCGACTGATGAATGGATCAAAGATGTGGTGTATGGTGTATATATACAATGGAATATTATTCAGGCATCAAAAAGAATGAAACCTTGTCATTTGCAGTGATGTGGTTGGGACTAGAGTGTATTATGCTAAGCAAAATAAGTCAGGCAGAAAAAGACAAATACCATATGATTTCACTCATGTGGAATTTAAGGAACAAAACAGATGAACATAGGGGAAGGGAAGGAAAAATAAGATAAAAACAGAGGGAGGCAAACTGTAAGAAACTTTTTTTTTTAGATTTTATTTATTTGACAGAGAGCGCACAAGCGGAGAGCTGCAGAGGGAGAGGGAGAAGCAGGCTCCCCACTGAGCAGGGACCTCAACATCAGGCTTGATCCCAGGACTCTGGGATTATGACTTGAGCTGAAGGCATATGCTTAACCGACTGACCCCCCAGGCACCCCAAGAAACTCTTAAGTATAGGGATCAAACAGGGTTGCTGGAGGGGAGGGGGATGGGTTAATGGGCGATGGGCATTAAGGAGGGCACTTGTAATGAGCACTGGGTGTTACATGCAAGTGATGAATCACTAAATTTCTACCACTGAAACCAGTAATAAAATATATGTTAACTAATTTAAATAAAATCTAAAAGAAAAAAAGAACAAACACACACAAAAATATATATAAAAAATCTGTTTCTTTATATTTGTATCTGAGTAGGGAAATAGAAGTTATTTTTTAGACTTTTCATTTAAGTAAAATATCTGCATGAGTATTAAGAATGGCTCTTAAGACGATTGTATACTTTGCATTGCTTACTTGTTTTTATGTATGATTTGTTAATGAATACAAATCATTAAAGAGAGCTTAATATGACAAATTATTTTTTTAAATATGTTCTGCTAAAATAGATTGAATTTTAAAAGTAAATTTCCAGAATGCCAGTTAAGTACAGCTCTGTTCAGATTCTTGCAGGGGAACACAAATGCTTTGAATTCAAGAGAGTAAAGAAGGAAATACATACATGTGTATACATGTATATACATACGTATACTTATGTATGTATATATAAGCCTTTTTTCAAGATTGTGAATCTGTGTGTGTGTGGGAGCATGAACACAAATACATGATTTAGAGTTGAAGGAGATGGCTAGGTGATCATAGGGCAAAATGACTGCACGGAAGTCATACCTCAGGGTTCTTCTTTCATTCTGAAGTCCTGCAAGGATATGAACCAGGTGATCAATTTCATAGAAAGCAACTGGGAGAAATACTATATTATTAGCTTTCTACTATTAATTTTATTTAAGTCCAATAACTATTACTATTGGTGATTCATTAGATATAGCTTTATATCTAATGAATATATATATATAGCTATGTCTGTGTCACATAGACATAGCTTTATTACATATAAGAACTTTTTTATTGAGATTATTACTGTTATAATTATCGTTATTAAACCAGAACTGTGATGATGTATTTCTTTCTTCTTCATAGGGTTATTCCCATTGTGTTGATGTTTATATAAAGCAGTGCCAGGAGGTAACATAATAGTATACTTTATTGGATTTTATTTTATTTTATGCTAATTTGTGTTTTTAAAACCATTTAAAAATTATATATTCACTATGTAAAATGCCTCTGTTTAGGGTGCTTACTTGAGAAATGATATATTTGAAGATGCAGCGATACTCTGCCAACGAGTGAACAAACAAGTTGGAGATATCTTTAGCAATCCAGAAACAGTACTGGCTAAACTTATTCAAAATGTATTTGAAGTCAAACTACAGGTAATTTTAAACTGACTAAATAGTTCTTCAGGCAATATGTGATTTTTTTCCTCTGTTTTAAAAGTTTTTCAAAAATTTAGTTTATTCATGTAATGCCCTTTGGGATAGTAATCTATTCAGTGAAGGGGAAAGGAATGACAGTATCATGCTTTTGTAAAAAATATTGTTCATCAAGAAAAAAGGTGCTAATCATAATCACTGAGTATCATCAGAGCATGTTTGAAATTTATTCCAGCAGAAGTAGTAGTTATAACAGGTTGTAGAGGGGAAACCTCAGATTTTTATTTTTATTGGGTCCTCACTTTGACCAATAGATGGCATTTGTGAAATTGGGTAAGAATTACAAGTGCAATCTGTAGAATTTTTTATAATATGTACTAACATGAAAAGAAAAAACACAGTAATTTAATTTACAACCTTGACTCCCATAGCACTGTACATTAAAGCAACATTTCCTAAACTATGTTTACTACCGGATTAAGCAACATTAAAGAAGTGTTTGTTTTTAAAACACAATTCAGGACTCTTAATATCCTTTAACAGCACTAATACGTATTGTGATTCTCTGAAAACAGGAGTCTAAAATTTTAGAGTAATGCCTGTTAATGTCTCAAGGGACACTAGGGTTACCCAGGCCAGTTTGGGAAATGCTATTTCTTAAGGAATTGACTATTATCAGTATAGCCTCAGGTTTTGTTTTTTAAATGTACTTTATGAGGCAAGATAGGCCAGTTTCAAAAGAAATTTTGAAATTTTTAATACTTATTCCTAAAAGTGCTATAGATGAACAGGTAAATATGAGAAGCATTAAAAATTAAAAACCTGTGTTCTTATTTTTTTTATATTGGTATATTTTCTATGCATTGCCTTTTCCATTGTATTTTAATCAGAACAATTCAAGAATGTGGAGTAATTTTAGAGAAAAATATATAATTTAATATTTACTTAATTGATAAAATGTTGACTTTTTTCTCAGAGTTTTGTGAAAGACCAGTTAGAAGAATGTAGGAAGTCTGATGCAGAGCAGTATCTCAAAAATCTCTATGATTTGTATACAAGGTATGCTTTTAATTACTAGAAAATAGGAAAACAGTAACATCTCAGATTTTCTTTCCTTTTTTTTTTAATAGAAAATGAAGTATTTTTTTTTTTTGAGTAATAGTTTGTAGATAGTAGTATACCTTTTAGCATTAAATGCTTGATTATATAGACTACTGTTGTACAAAGAGCAGTATTCTTAGCATGTTAACTTAAGGAATTGGATATTATGCTGTATAGTCATGTACTTTAATGTAACTTTTTTTACGTTAAGACTCAAGAATTTTGTTTCTGGTTTTAATTGTAAGCTAGTTCACTATTCTTTAATTTTTTTCTCTGAGACATAGTATAATGACATTTATCTGGCAGTTAAAACTTTAGAAATTGAGAAAGTCACAAATTCTTAACAAATGACAGTTTCAGCCTTAAGTCTGATATGAAAATTTGCCTTGGGCTTTGTAAATACAAGTGTAACATTTGGAAATATCATATCAGAAGCTGTTTCGGGAGTTTTTTTTCCCAGTCCTATTGTTGTTCATCAGTGTCATCATTTTGAGAGGAGGGTTTTCAAAAGTAACCATCATCAGGAAGTCCATCCCAACAACATTTATTGTGAGCCTATCTTTAATAATGTGAAACAGAAAATTAGAGGAAAGTCCACATGGACAAAGACAAAAGAGAATGAACGGAAAGTAGATCTCTCAGTATTCTGACGTGGGTACCATGTCATGAATGGCATTAGAACATATTGAAGTCATTCTGCCACTGTTGCCATTTCTAGACTGGTTGGTTGCCTTGGTTTCTTCTCCTAAGTCATCCCTAGGAGATTATCCCTAGTCAGTTTTCTAAGCCACAATGTTATTTGTAATATCCATTCTACTTTATATATAGCCCTATGCAGCTGCTCTCTGTATCCTAAGTGCCTTCCAAGGTTTAAGAAATGGTGGTTTAACATAAGTTATTAAAATCACATTGTAAAAATATATATTCCTTAGTATTGTCACTGTACCTAAAATATACATTAATTTTTTCCCCCTTTTCCATGAAAAGAACCACAAACCTTTCCAGCAAGTTGATGGAGTTTAACTTAGGTACTGATAAACAGACTTTCTTGTCGAAGCTTATCAAATCCATTTTCATTTCCTATTTGGAGAACTATATTGAGGTGGAGACTGGATATTTGAAAAGCAGAAGTGCTATGATCCTACAGCGCTATTATGACTCAAAAAACCATCAAAAGAGATCCATTGGCACGGGAGGGTGAGTGTTTCTGTTAAATGTTGTAGTTAAAACTAAAGATTTTAAGACCTTTATTATATTTGGACAAAGTTGTCAAATATTGACAGTGAATTTTCTGTGAAGAACTCATTTAACCCAGCTTATTTACACCATTGATCAAATCCTGTCTCTTGAACCACATGTTGAAATGACCTAACATAATGTAATTAAAATGTAAAGCAGAATACCAGCACTATAAAGAGTTCTATAGTCTCCTTTTTTTTTTTCCCCACACTGAGTAAATTATTCCAGGTTATTAACTAGGAAGCACATCATTTTTTGTTGTTGCAGGTGTGGGAAAAAATAGCAAATAGTTTACAGTTTAGGTATCCTGAGCTTTTTAATACTTGGGCATAAAATTATTTAATTAATACCTTAAAATCTGTGATTATTCGCATACTAGAAGAAAATGATTTGCTATAGGATTGGTGGCATCTGTTATCCAGATCTCAACTGTCTGGGACCAATTTGATTCTAGAATGAAGCAGAATGACTTATGCAGAGCCATATAATTAGAGTACAGAGTACACTCAAATCAGTTTCTTGTTTCCCAGTTTTTTATATACTAAATAGTGATCAGGGAGAGGTTATAATTAGGAATAAGAAGTGACATCTGAAAGGCAGCAGCAAGTAAGGGAAGAGAAAAACTAAAGAACAATCATGAGAATTTAAAAAAAAAAAATAGTTTGGGGTGTGTGGCTGGCTCAGTCAGTGGAGTATGCAACTCTTGATGTCAGGATTGTAAGTTCAAGCCCCATGTTGGGGTAGAGATTAATTTAAAAAAAATAAAATCTTTAAAGATTTTGTTTATTTGAGAGCAAGAGAATGAGAGAGAGCATGAGCAGGGAGAGGATCAGAGGGAGGAGGGAGAAGCAGGCTCCCCACTGAGCAGGGAGCCTGGTGCGGGACTTGATCCCGGGACTCTGGGATCATGACCTGAGCCGAAGGCAGATGCTTAACCAACTGAGCCACCCAGGCGCCCCAAAAATAAAATCTTTTTTTAAAAAAAAAGTTCATAGTGGTCTAGAGCTAGGTATTCTAGGAGCAAAAGAAATCCAACCTTCTAAACATACCACCATAAAATAAATGTTCAAAGTAACCCTCAGTCATTAAGAAAAGCTAAATTATGTTTAATGTATCTTGTTTAATAATGATAAAGAAATGTGCAATATGCTCAAATGGTTAGATATATTTAAAAAGCACTAAATTTTTAAAGTTTATTTTAAGCAGGACCATTTAGTTATATTAACTTATTTGGAATAGTCCACTTCATAAGGAAACCAAACAAGAAATTTTTGGCTATTGAGTCAGAATTATAGAGCTGAAAGAGACTTTAAAGGTCACAACTCCAAGTATACTCATTTTTCAGTTGAAAATCTTATGTTTAGAGATTAAAGCTTATTTCACTTTACAGAACTAATTATTGAAATTAGAACTTTTATGTCTGGCAATTAGTCCATTTTTCTCTGTTGATATATACAACTTAAGTTGAAGAGTACTTGAAATTGAAATCTGTGTATAGTAAAGTGTTCTCTTTTCATTTGTTTTTATGATGCATTAGTATTCAGGATTTGAAAGAGAGAATTAGACAACGTACCAACTTACCATTGGGGCCAAGTATCGATACTCATGGGGAAACTTTCCTATCTCAAGAAGTGGTGGTTAATCTTTTACAAGAAACCAAACAAGCCTTTGAAAGATGTCATAGGGTAAGAGTAGTTATAAATTTATTTTATTTATATGGTTGTGTTTTTTAATCTTTGCCTTGTTTATAGTAAGATATAAATCTGCTCTCTGGTTAGGAACAACTATTTTTTGTAATAAAAAATTATAGAGGTTTTGTTTTGGAGAACAGAATTATTTTAAAATTATTTAGAAGTGTATTTTAATATAATTTCAAAAGTTGAATATACCAAATTTTTCTTCTGTACAATATATTAAATCAAGATATGAAAGGGAGGTTTAGAGCCATCTCATAAAGAAATAGAGCATTAGGGAAAGAAGGATGTCTTAAGAACCGAGATATCAAAGGAAAAGTTGACTCCATTAAAATTTAGAATTTCTTTCCAACAAATGCACTTTAACAAAGGAAACAGCTTAAGTCACAGTCTGCAAGAAGGTATTTATAACCAGTATTACTAGCAGAAGATTATGTAAAACAAATAATAGTGGCAAATAATTGTATAGCATATACTGTGGGCCAAAGCACTTTAGGTATACATCAGCTCATTTAATCATTGTAACAACCTTGTGAGGTTTTTATTCCATTTTACAGATGAAGAAACTGAGATACATACTTCTTAAGCAGTGGAACTGAGAGTTGAGGCAGTCTTAATTTTTTTATTTGTATTGATATATATGTCTATTTTATATTGATAGACAGTAAATCAATAGAAATTATACATATAAATATAAATCAATAGAAAACAAAGACTAATAAACACACATAGTGGGTTCTCAGTAAATAAAGAAACTATCATCTGACTCCATTATATGTGATAGCCAAGAGTGAGGTCTCTGGAGTCGGCCAGAGGTGGACTCAAAACCTGGCTCGACCACTAAACATGTAAACAAATACAGAAAATGTAAATTACCAATAAGATATTCAGTCTCACTAATAGGCAAATGAAACTTAAAATGGGAAAATACTGTCTCAGTCTGCAAAAATTAAGTCTGATCATAGTAAGGATGTGGAGCAATATAAATTTTCTTACACTACCAATGGAAGTAAAAATTGGTATAGTTACTTCGGATAGTAACTCGGAATTCATTAGAGAAACTCACAGGTCTACATGCCATGTCTAACATCATAGCAGCATTGTTTATCATGGTGAAAAATTAGAAGCAAATTAAGTGTGCCTCGAAAAGAGAATTGATAAATTGACATTGTTCATACACTAGAAAACTGTACAACAATTTAAATGACTAGAGTATCAACATGTTGTATCAACAAAAAAATCTCAAAAATACAGTGTTGAGTGAAAAGAACAAAATGGGGAAAAGATATATTCAGTATCATGCCACTATATAAAGTTTTAAAAAGTAGAAGAATACCCTTATATTGTTTAGGGATATGCACAAGCATAAGCATGATAGATTCAGGGTAGTGTTTGCCATGAGGGAGGAGTACTTAAGGGACTTCATCCATATGTAGGACTCCCCTTCCCCCCCAAAAAAGAAAAAAAATCTGAAGTACATTTGGAAAAAATGATAAGATATGACACATCTGGGGGCGCCTGGGTGGTTCAGTCGTTAAGCATCTGCCTTCGGCTCAGGTCATGATCCCAGGGTTCTGGGGTCGAGCCCCACATCGGGCTCCCTGCTCTGCAGGAAGCCTGCTTCTCCCTCTCCCACTGCCCCTGCTTGTGTTCCCTCTCTTGCTGTGTCTCTCTCTGTCAAATGGGTAAATAAAATCTTAAAAAAAAAAAAAAAAAAGATACGACATATGTGGGTGGGTGATGGGTATATTTGGTAAATTATCTCTAGTTTTCTGAATGCTGGAAATGTGTTAAAATATTTCTAAAGATCATTGAACCTGAAGCAGTCAACATTATGTTGTTTGAATCATAGTAACTAGCTCAGTGTCCTGACCTTTTACCTGGAAAGTTACAAGATAGAAATTCAGTTGAAGTTCAGCACAATCTAATCCAAGAAACATGTGTTTACTTTGTACCAGCTGCTATGTTAGGCACTGAAGATATAAAAATAAGACATATATATTACTTTTGAATAGTGTGGAGAAAGGAGGTTGACATAGAAATAATCAGTGCAAAATAGGTATACCCTGCTGGGACCAAAGACGGTGCAGCCAGCTCTGCCTGGTTAAAGAATTGAGGAAGAGTATTTATTTGAAAAGGTTTCAAAAAGAAGGGGACTTTTTAAGCCTGAGTCTTAAAGCTACATAGGATATCTTCAAGAGGTGATTCTTGCAGAGAATAGTACATGTAAAAAGTAATATACAAAGATCAGATGTGCAGCATAAAATGCTTGAAATAAAAATGTACATGGGAGAGTAATGAGAAAGGAAATTGCAAAGGTAAACAGAAACTCTTTGTACACCATGGATAGAAATTTAGACTTGACCTTGTAGATGATGCAAACTTTAAAGGATTATTAAAAAAGGGCAGTGTAATGAGCAGATTGGTGCTTTTTTCCTTTTTAAAAAAATAACTTTGAGATACCTTTGACATTCTGTAAAATGCATATATTTAAACTGCACAGTTTGATAACTTTGGTAAGTTATGTCTACATTTCTGAAGCTATAACTTCAGTCAGGATAACGAACTGATCCATCACCTCAAAAAGTTTCCTTTTGTCCTTTTATAATCCCCCTTTCCTCTCCCTTCACTTCTATCCTCAGAGAACCACTGATCAGCTTTATGTCACTATAGATTTATTTTCAAAAAGAAGGCGACATTTGAGGACTGAGTCTTGAAAGCTAAATAGGATGTCTTTAAGAGGTTCATCAATTTTCTAGTTTTTATAAATAGTATATGGTATGTTATAATATGTACATGTGTTTCTGGCTTCTTTCACTCAGCATGATTATTTAGAAATTCATCCATATTGTTGTGTGTATTAGTATGCTCCTTTCTATTGCAGAGTAGTATTTCCTTGCATGAATATACCACAGTATGTCTGCTTAAACTATTGATAGACATTTAGATTGATTTCAGTGTTTGACTATTATGAATGAAGTTGCTGTGAACATTCATGTATATGTCTTTATGCAGACATATGCTTTCATTTCTCTTGGGTATATACTTAGTAGCAATATGGCTGATTCATATGGTATTTCTTTTAAAGAAACTGCCAAACTATTTTCCAAGGTTGTTTCATTTGCCATTCCTGCCAGCAATGTGTAAAAGTTTCATTTGCTCCCCATGATCTCCAACATTTGGTATGATCAATCCTTTTTTTTTTTAAGATTTTATTTATTTATTTGACAGAGACACAGCGAGAGAGGGAACACAAGTAGGGGGAGAGGGAGAAGCAGGCCTCCTGCGGAGCAGGGAGCCCGATGCGGGACTCGATCCCAAGACCTTGGGATCATGACCTGACCCTAAGGCAGATGCTTAACAACTGAGCCACCCAGGCGCCCCATAATCAGTCCTTTTAATTTTAGACAGCCTAACGGTGTGTAGTGATATCTTATTAGGGTTTTAGTTTTACATTTAGGTCTATGATCAGTTTTGAGTTAATTTATACATGTCCTATGGTGTATGGATCAAAGTTCAGTTTTTTGCATTTAGGCATCCAGTTGTTTAAGCGTTATTTATTGGAAAGACTATCCTTTCTCCACTCAATTACTTTGGAACCTTTGTCGAAAACTGCTTGACAATTTATATGTGGATCTGTTTCTGGACTCTCTTCTGTTCCATCGACCTATTTGTCTTTGTGCCAATACTACACTGTCTTGATCACTGTAATTATTAAGTCTTGAATTAGGTAGTGTCAGTCCCCTAATATTTTCATATAAATTATTTTGCATCCTTATATGTCTTATAACCACTTTGTCAGTCTCTGGGGAAAAAAAGTTTGGGGTTTTGATTGCATTGAATCTATAGTTCTGTTTGTGGAGAAGTGACATCTTAATAATATTGAGTGTTCAGTCTACAAATAAAGTATATCTGTCCAGGGGCGCCTGGGTGGCTCAGTTGGTTAAGCAACTGCCTTCAGCTCAGGTCATGATCCTGGAATCCTAGGATCGAGTCCCACATCGGGCTCCCTGCTCAGTGGGGAGTCTGCTTCTCCCTCTGACCCTCTCCCCTCTCATGTTCTCTCTCACTCTCTCTCTCAAATAAATAAATAAAATCTTAAAGAAAAAGTATATCTGTCCATTTATTTAAGTTTTCTTTAATTTTCCTTACCAAAGTTTTGTAATTTTTTAGCACACAAGGTTTATCCCTGAGTATTTAACATTTTTTGTGCTATTTTAATGTAATGCAAGTGGTATTTTTTAATTTATATTTTTGATACTCTGTTGTCAGTGTATAGAAAAACAGTTGATTTTTATATGTTGACTTTATACCTGCAACTTAACCAAACTTATTAGTTCTAGTAGCGCTTTTTTTTTTGTAGATTCCAAAGGATTTTCTAAATAGTCTATCATGGAGTCTGCCAATAAGTCAATTTTACTTATTCCTTTCTAGTATAGAAACCTATTATTTGGTTCTCTTGCATTATTGCATTGCTCAGAACCTCCAGTACAATGATGAATGGAAGTGGTGAGAGCAAATACCTTGTATTATTCTTGATCTTAAGAATAAAGCATTGAGTCTTTCACCATTAAGTATGATATTAATTATAGGTTTTTCACAGATGCTCCTTACCAGATTGAGGAAATGCTTTTATTTTTAGTTTTCTGAGTTTTTATAAGATTAGGTGTTGGATTTTGTCAAATGCTTTCTTTTTATTATGTTAGTATGCTGAATTACATTGATTTCCAAATGTTAACCTTGCATTCCTTTGATAAACTCCCCTTGGTTATCAGGTATTATCCTGTGTATATTTTGTTGGATTAGGTTTGCTGAACTTTTTTTTTTTTTTTTTTTAGATTTTTATTTATTTATTTGACAGAGAGATAGCGAGAGCAGGAACACAAGCAGGGGGAGCGGGAGAGGGAGAAGCAGGCTTCCTGCCGAGCAGGGAGCCCGATGTGGGACTCGATCGCAGGACCCTGGGATCATGACCTGAGCCGAAGGCAGACGCTTAACGACTGAGCCACCCAGGCGCCCGGGATTTGTAAATTTTATTAGTCTTTTCAAAGACTCTGTTTTGGGCTTAGTTGGTTTTTCTCTATTCTATATTTTTTCTATTTCATCTGTTGCTTATATCTTTATTATTTCTTTCCTTCTAGTTTATTTGCCTTAAATTTGGTGTTCTTTTCTAACTCCTTGAGGTAGTCATTAGATCACTGATTTTCTGCTATTCTTTTGCTGAACTTTTGTTTAGAATTTTTGTGTTTGTGTTCATGAGGGATATTGACTTATACATATATTTTTTTCACACAATGTCTTCGTCTAGTTTTGGTTATCAGGGTAATGTTGGCCTTGTGGAATGAGTTGGAAAATATTTCTTCCTCTTTAATTTTCTGGAAGAGTTTGTGTAAAATTGATATTATTTCTATCTTAAATGTTTGCTTGAATTTACCAGTGAAATAATTTGGGCCTGCGGTTTTCGTTGTGAGGGTTTTTAACTACAAATCCAACTTCTTTAATAGATTTAGAACTATTTAAGGTACCTATTTCTTTTTAATTGAGCTTTGGTAGTTCATGTCTTTAAGGATTTGTATATTTCACATAAATGTTTGAATTTATTGGGATTAAGTTGTTCATGATATTTCCTTATTATCCTTGTAATATCTGTAGAATCTATAGTGATGTCACCTTTTCATTCTTGATATCAGTAATTTGTATATTTTTTCCCTGATCAGTCTGGCTAGAGGTTTATCAGTTTTATTGATTTTCCCAAAGAATCACCTTTTGGTATCATTGATTTTTCTCTATTCTTTTGTTTTGTGTTTCATCAGTTTCCACTCTTTATTGCTTTTCTGCTGCTTGGTTGGGTTTCATTTGCCCTTCTTTGTTTAGTTTTGTAAGGTGGGAACTGAGGTCATTGATTTGAGACCGTTCTTCTCTAATATAAACATTTAGTCTTATAAATTTCTCTGTAAGGTAAGCTTTAGCTGCATACCACAAATTTTGATATGTTGTATTTATTTTCATTCAGTTCAAAATACTTCTAAATTTCCCTTTTGATTTCTTTTGGCCCAAGAGTGATTTAGAAGTGTTTTAGTTGTCAGATATTGGGGTATTTTTTAGTTCTTTCTGTTATTGATTCAAATTTGATCCTGTTGTGGTTAGAGGACATACTTTGTATGATGTGAATCTGTTTTAAATTTGTTGAGACTTGTTTTAGTCCAGGATATGATCCATCTTTGTGAATGTTTTGTGTATACTTGAAAAAAGAAGTGTATATCCTGATGTTGTTAGATGGAGTATTCTATAAATGTCAGGTCCAGTTGATTGACAGGGTTGTTTACATCTTCTGTCTGCCTATCAATTTTCTGTCTACCTCTTCTATCAATTATGCATGGATATATGAATGTAAACAGGAGGAGGGTGAAAAGTTTATTCTTTATTGCTTGTTAAGGGCTTCTGTTGAGGATCAGTGAGCAAAGAAGGGAGGTAAAGGTTGTGGTAGAGCGACTAGTGAAGAGTAAACTTTGAGGTAGTATTAAGAAGATCAGGAAGGGAATTGAGTAATACCAAATCAGTATTTATAATAGGGTTTTTAAAGGGGTTATGCACTTCAGCTCCCAGCTCTTTATATCAGATAATAAGCATTGCTCTGAGAAAGGTAAATGAATAGACTACGAAGTGGCAACAATCAGTTGATAAATAATACAGAAAGCAGTGATAAGATGTTGAGAGGTAGTTTTCTAACTTTTTAAAGAGAGATTTCATTTTCTCACCATAATTACTAATAATTCTTCTGAGTAATCATCAGCAATATCAACAGCAAAATGAACATTTATTATTGTAAGTTTACTGTGTGCCATACATTGTGCTAAAAATACTTTATGTGCATTTTTATATTTTATTCTCACCTCAGGACTAGGATGTAAGTACTGTTAATATTATTCCCACCTTACAGATGAAGAAATTGAGGCCTGGTGGGGTTAAATAATATCTTAAGGGTTTACTCAAAGAGGAAGTGATGAAGCTGGGATTTGAGCCTGTCATATTTTATAGTGCATTTGTTATCGATTTCCCCATTCCCACCCCCCAGAAGAATAGAGAATCCTTTTTATTCTGAGTTTTGCTAGAATAGCTTTTGTTAAAGTTGGTGGCTCTGAAACTTCTTTGACCACAACCTATAAGAAATGGATTTTACATAGCAGTCCAGTGGATCTTTGTTATATGTATGCATATGTGTATGATGTTTTTGTGTGTATGTGTATTTCATAAAACTATATGTGGTTTTAACATGTACATTATACTTTATTTACTCTTGATTCTCTCGTCTCTTCCCTCTTTCTTTCTTGTCGCAATCCACTAATGGATTGCAATCCAGGTGAGAAAAATATTGATCTAGTCTAAGCCAGGAGAATTGTAGATAAATACGAAGCATTGTAACTATATGTCTATGTATGTGAGAGAGGCTTTGGGGGTGGAGAGGAAGAGGCATAAGTTAGCATTTTGAAACCTGAATACTGGGTACATCGTATACAAAATTGATTGCTTAAAAAAAAAAAGAAAAGCCCTTTTTTTTAAAGATAGACTTTAGGAGTGATGTATTTGGTTTTTGTTTTTAAAGCTCTCTGATCCTTCTGATTTACCAAGGAATGCCTTTAGAATTTTTACCATTCTTGTGGAATTTTTATGTATTGAGCATATTGATTATGCTTTGGAAACAGGACTTGCTGGTAAGTATATTTGTGTTATATTTTGTGTTAAATTCCTTTGATCATGCTTGATTAACTGTATGCATAATGTTTTGTATATATTCAACTCTTTATATCAAATTCAGTTCAATGCAATGAATAATGCTTTTTGAGCATCTATAATGCAAGAGTTTGTCAGGCGCAGAAAGTTACACAAAGAGTTCTCTCATATTGCTTACATCAAACAGGGCAGGGTAAGCTACATAAGTCACTACAGTGTATGGCAGAATGTGGTACAATGCTACAAGTTATAAAATGTCAAAGGAGCAGAACTGAAGGTGACAGCAATTCTGGTTGAAGCAGTTGAATAATGTAAAGTTTAGAAGGGAAAATATTCCAAAATAAGCCTGGAAAGGAATAGATTCATATTAAAATTTTTCTTTTGCTTTTGGTCTTTCAGGTTTACTGGTATTAATAGGATAATAATGATTTCTTCCCTAAATTCCAACCGCATTAATGTAGTTCCCTCTTTGAACTTGCCACCTGTTCAGTGTGCATCTCAAATTTAACATATCCCTACCGAAACTCTTTATCTTCCATTTAAACTTGTTCTACTCCCATTCTTTCCCATGTCCTTAAAAGGCATTACTATTTACTAGTTGCTCAGGCCCCAAACATAGGAGTTGCCATATTTCTTCCTTTTCATCAAACCTGATAGCTAGTCTGTTAGCAAATCCTATACTTCCAAACATAACTCAAATTCATCTACTTTTCTCAAGCTCTACTAATGCCACCCTAATTTAAATACCATCATCTGTATCCATTCCTTACTGGCCTTTCTGTAAACATTCTCAACCTCTCCACAATACTGACTCCACATAACAGTTTGATTATCATTTCCTTGTTTAAGACCTTTTAGGGACTTCCTATTAATTTTAGGGGAAAAACAATAACAAACTTTACAAAAGCATGGCTTTTGATCTGTCTTCCTGTTATGTATTCATCCACTTCTCATATTGTACTTCCTCTCACTACCTTAGCCATCAGCCACTCTAGCCTTCATTCTTTTTTTTTCTCACTCAGGCTTTCCCCCATCCCCCAATCCCTTTTCCTTTAGCACTTCTCATGCCTGACTTTTCAGCCTCTGATCTCAGTTAACTAAGATGTCACCTTCTTAAAGAGGCTTTTGTGGATTACTCTAAGATAGCCCTCTACTCCCAGCCTAGTTATTCATTATTTCATCACTGAATTAATGTTTTTCATAGCACTTATCACAGTGAAATTTTCATCTGTTAATGTCTGCTTCCACTTACCAGAATTCATTCACTTTTAAATGCCTACTCCTGCACTCACAGAGCTTTCATTCCTAGGGATAAGATAGACAAATGACTAGAAAGTACAATGAAGAAAAATAAAATTGAGTAAGATAGTGAGAAGTGTTGGGGAGGTAGGATGGGGGAATTCAGGAGCAGAGGACTTTTTTTAGAGAGATTGGTTAGGGAATGCCTCTCTGAGGAATTATATGAACTAGAGAGCTGAATGGAGTGAAAGAGTAAATGGAGTATTTGGAGAAAGAGTATTTTAAGAGAACAGCATATATGCTCTTTTGGCTAGGAATCTCATCTGTCTTATTCACCATTATTATCTAGTACTTAGAAAGCACATAGCAGATGCTCAAAAATGTTTATTGACTGTATATCACATCATTTTTTAGTTTTTTAACACTGAAGCAAAATTACCATAATTCAGTAAACTTGATTTATTCTTACCCATTTTTTAATTTGCTCTCATGATTGTAGATTTGCTCTCAGGACAGATTAAAAGCATTTGTATCCTGCTTTTTTTAACTTAATTACAGTAGACTCTTTTTTTTTTTTAAGTTTATTAATTTATTTTCTTAAGTAATCTCAATACCCAGTGTAGGGCTCAAACTCATGACCCCAAGATCAAGAGTCGCATGCTCTTCTGACTGAGCCAGCCAGGCACCCCAATTACAGCAAACTCTTGACATCAAGTATTTAACATTTGCCATTTGCAAATGACTAAATGTGGCAATTTGTATTGGGATGATAATACCTCAAAGATATTAAGAAGATTAAAGAAGATAATGAGAAAAACTAACAAGAATTTGAATCCATATGGTATGAAGGATTTATTATTTAGCTCATATGGAAATCTAGCATCTTCATTTTAGTAGCTGTATTCACAATTTGGAAGGACTTAGAAAATTTACTGGTAGGATGAAAATGTCTCTTATAATTCATAAATTTTCTTCCCTGCAGCCATTCAGTTAGCACTTACTGCTATTATTTCTAATGATAGTATAAAATTTTGTCATGCATATATATTATAAAGTTAAATAAAATTAACTATCCCCTCTTACTAGACATACTGGTTTTTTTCCAGCAGTTTAGTAATATAAATAATGCTGCAGTGAACATTGTAGAGCTTAAAGTGTTTTCCTTATTTTGAATTATTTTCTCTGTATGAAATCCCAGAGGTGAAGTTAGCAGAGCAAAAGTATGTTACCAGAGACACCTGCCTGGCTCAGTTGGTAGAGCATGCAACTCCTGATCTCTAGGTTATGAGTTCGACCCCCATACTGGGGCTAGAGTTTACTTTAAAAAAAACAAAAAACCAAAAAAAACCCACAAAGTGTGTTACCAATTTTTAAAATTTCTATACATAAAGCCTTTTCCAAAAGGGTTTTTTTTGCCCTAATTTACACTGCTGTTGCATGTACCAGTTCTTCTGCATAACATTGAATATTCTTTTAAAAACTTTAATTTAGTGGTTAAAAATATACATAAATATTACCTTAATTTTAATAACTTTGATTAATAGTAAGGATTTTCCACATGTGCATTGACTTTATTTTTTTCTTTTGTAAGTTTGTGTTGGAGCCTTTAATTTTCTTACCAGTTGGTGATTTTGTCTTTTATGGGAAAATGAAACACCTTTGCTTTCATTTTTAAAACTTTGAAAAAAATCATCATCCTATAAAGAATTCTAGCTATTAATTTTATTTTCTCATATGTGAATATTTTCCCTAGCCCATTATACCTTTTCATTTTAGCTAGAAACACAAACATCTAAGGTTAGAATGGACTGCTCTTCTACAAAAAAGAGGAAACTGAAGTCTGGATAGGTCAGCTCTCTTTTTTGGAGTCAGCATGTTGAGTCGCTTGAATGCCATGAATTTTAGACAGTGAGGAGACTTTGAATATTTTTGAGGAAATAATGGAGAGCAAGATGAGTGAAATGTGTAAGTTTAAGTATGTTACTCTGGCAACAATATATAGCAGAAAAGATAAAGTGATTTGAACCCAGGAAACTAATAAAAAATTATTTTAACTGTTACCAGAGATAATGAGGCCTTGTTATAAGAAAAATGGTGGAAGTGTATGCATGGCTCATGTGGAACCACTGGGCATGAGAGTGGGAAAGGAAAGAAGATACAGTCCAAGATGATTCATTTATTGATTTAATTTTTGGTTTATCTCAGCAAATAATGAAGACTGAGTAGATGGTGAAAATTTTCATGTAAAAATTTTATTCATTTTATTAAGTTACTAAACTTAATTTTACTCTTCTGTCCACAAAAATCATTGCTAATTTATTAAAATAGCAGTGACTTTTATTCATGATACCGTGTTCTTTTTTCTGTTGCCAAGATGAATTTCTTCAAGTATGATTCTAATATGTACATGCCTTCCAATTTTAGGAATTCCTTCTTCAGATTCTAGGAATGCAAATCTCTATTTTTTGGATGTTGTGCAACAGGCCAATACTATTTTTCATCTTTTTGACAAGCAGTTTAATGATCACCTTATGCCACTAATAAGGTTAGTCAAATTGATTTTTTTTGGTATTTCAGTGACTATTATAATGCTCTATGTTTAAAGATACACAACAAAAATTTTATAAGATTAATAGGACAGATTTTAATAAGGCATTAAATAAGATTTGGTTTATATCTCAATTTATGTGAACTTTTAAAGTATGTGAGGATTAAATAAGGTAGAATATACGTGAACATGCCTTATAAAATTGTGTGTATACTGTTATTAAAAAGGAAAAATATTTTTTAAAAAGAAAAATAAAAGATAAAATTTTAAACATTTTATTGTACACATTGATATGCCAAGAAATTAATTCAAAAACAGTCTCAAAGATAAAGATCACTTGTGATCCCTGAATCACACTTTAAAAGGAAATGCACTATTTTAAGAGCTGTAATGCCACATAGCACAGAATTCACATAACTATTAGGGTTGCAGATTCCTTAATAGTTTAGGTGTTTTTGACATTTAGATGGCATTCAGAAGGCAAATATGATTGTCAAATTTGTTTTTATAATATAGGAAAGCTAAATACAGCTGGATTGGCTCTTAGTCTCCAAATTTTAATTAGTATAATTTATTATATTCTTAAGACTCTGGTGATATCCTTTGGTGTTTGTTTTTGTTTACCAAATAATCCCCAAATTGCAAAATCACATATATTTATATTCTTAAGGGATATCTTCTCTTAGATGAAAGTAACAAATCTAAATCTTCCTCTTCCTTCTCGTTTAACTGGTTAATTTTTCCTAGTGTGACTATTGGGCATAGTAATACAACATAATTTCCTAGTATTGAATTGGGTATAGTAATTACTACTTATGTGCTTCTTGGATTTGTGAGCAAAGTAAAATAATATATGTGTATGTATAAATGTTTATAACAATATACATGTGCTTATGAAAAATTTTTATAAGGCTACTAATGTGATTTTTTTTCCCTTTAAACATTCAATAGCTCTTCTCCTAAGTTATCTGAATGCCTTCAGAAGAAAAAAGAAATAATTGAACAAATGGAGATGAAATTGGATACTGGCATTGATAGGCAAGTTGTTAGTTTTACCTTTTCTCTTATATTTTTTATGTTTAATTTATTTACTTTTTAAGATTTTTTTTTAAGATTTATTTATTTATTTTGGAGAGAAAGAGCACTGGGGGAAGGGGCAGCAGGAGAGAGAGAGAGAATCTCAAGCAGACTCCCTGCTCAGCGCAGAGCCAGACACGGGGCTCAGTCTTATGACTCTGAGATCATGACCTGAGCCGAAATCAAGAGTCGGATGTATAACCAACTGAACCACCCAGGCACCCCTTTAAAGATTTTATTTTATTTATTTATTTTTTAATTAATTAATTTTTTTTTTAAGATTATTTATTTATTTATTTGACAGAGAGAGAGAAAGGACAAGTAGGCAGAGCAGTGGGCAGAGGGAGAGGGAGAAGCAGGCTTCCTGCTTGATCCCAGGACCCTGGGATCATGACCTGAGCCAAAGGCAGACGCCCAACCGACTGAGCCACCCAGGTGTCCCTAAAGTTTTTATTTTAAAGTGGGACTCAAACACAACCTGATACCAACGTGGGACTCAAACACAACCCTGATACCAAGAGTGGGACTCAAACACAACCCTGATACCAAGAGTGGGACTCAAACACAACCCTGATACCAAACACAACCCTGATACCAATGTGGGACTCAAACACAACCCTGATACCAAGAGTCACACTCTCCACTGACTGAGCCAGCCAGTCGCCCCTCCTTTTCTCTCATATTTTTTAAATTGTAAAAACACCGTTATAAATGCAGCATGAAAAGGTTTTCAGTATGTTTAGGTATGCTTTTAAACTAGATTCAATTGAAAAGCCATTTTTGTAGGCCACCACTTTCTCCTCCTCCTCCTCTTTCTTTCCCTCTCTCCAGACTCCTTAAAAGTGATATGTAACATAGAGGATTTTATTTTCATTTGAATTTTTAGGCTTATATCTGAAATGCTTTAAATAAATATACTTGTTTTCTGTAAGTGAATTCCATTAAGTGAATACAGACTGCATTCAAAAATTTTTATAACTTTTTGTAGTTAATTACCTATTAATAGTATAGAGCAGTGGGTCTCTTTTCTTGAGATGACGTGGTGGGCATATATTGATGATGATGATAGTTACCACTTATCAAGCATTTGGTGTGCGCTAGGCACAGTGCAAGGACCTTTACCTGTATTATTTTATTTATTAGGTAGGAAATACTGTTTCTGTTCTACAGATGAGGAAATGGAGGCTTAAAGAAATTATGTAATGTGCTAAGATAACACAGTTAATGGTGGTAGAGCTGGAACTCAAATTCTAAAGCCCATGCTACTAGATTTGGGCATATCTTTTTCTCTTACTGTAATTCTGTTCCTTTCTCTTCTGTTTAAGAAAGCATATTTGAATGCAGGTTAGTTTCAGTGCTGTATAAGGATAGCCTGGAATCTACTCTAATTTACAAAAAATTAAGAAATTTTTACTTTATCAGTATCAAACTTGCAGCTCACCTCCCAATTATCTTCTCACTAAGATCAAGAATTACTACTGAGTATATGATAATGAAGGTAAGAAAAATAAAATTGAAGAATAAAACTAGGAAAAATAGGGTATTATAAAATTAATTACTGAGACTAATTTACTGAATTATATGCTTAGAATAATCCTAAAACTGGTCTCTCCCTTTTGTTTTTAGTCAGGACCATATGAGAACCATATATAATTTCATTTAATATAATTACAATGTGTATGATATATTGTACACATTATAATCATCACTTCAAGAAGTATGTATTTTCCTAACCTAAATCTCTCCTATTAACTTAATTTGTTTCTTCTTGCTTTACCTCAGAATGCCTGAAAATCATATTTGGGACATAGGGAGGTTGGATATATTAAACTTTCAGAGATATAGGAAAGATGTATTTCCTTGGTGTCTTCTTAATGTCATTCTGTATAAGCCTTAATCTCAGAGTCTTTGCACTAGTTGATTAATTGAAAGCACAGTATCCTGTAGTGGTCTCATGAATGTGAACTTCTGATTTTTTTACCCATGTACCATGGGGCCAAGAGGTGAGCAGAGCATTCACCTGATCTCTTCTCTGATATTTTCAGACCAGTATCCATCTGTAGGTGTTAGGTCGGAACCCTTTTGCCTTTGAAACCCACATCATCTCTTCCTATTGCTGTTGTCTCTCAATCATTTATGTTAGTCTCCTACATTAATTGAGGATTTGGGCATCTGGCTTACAGTTTTTCTTTTAAACTTAAATCTTAGGTTATTTCTACTTCCATGTGTGTGACCCATTCATTTTCTTCCTCGTCTTCATTTTAGCTACCTACTCTCATATCCTACTAGACCTCATTATCATTGATAACAAAAACTTGAAACTTGAATATCCCACTCATTGCTCACAACCTCCTGTTCTTCCAATTCCATAACCTTCTGACCTCAGCAGGAACTCTGGCCCTTAATATATTTATCTTTTGCCAATCTTCTATCCTTTTCTTTATTCATTATTATGCTTAGGTTGTTTGATCCATCTCTTAAATTAGCCCCTTATAATTACCCTAAAATCTGTTTCCGTTAACCTTAACTATCTTACAGATCCAAGGTTTTGGAGCAGTGCAGTCTCTTATTCCCATAACTGGGTGGCTGATTGCTGTTGGAGAATAGCATATAACTTGAACATTATTGGTGCCGCTACAAACCCATGTTCTCATTTCTCAACTGAGTCTTTAGTACCATTTGTTCAGCTTCCTGCTTGCCCTTAGACTGTGGAACTCCTATTCATCTCACTAATTCTTCCAAATGTTGGCCATTTGTCTTAACCCTCTATCTTCCCCTCTTTCTAACCAGTCTCTGTATATGGTTGTTAAGGAAGTAAGTTAGTGACAGGTTTCTAAGATCTTTAAGATTACCTTAAATAAAGTATTGGGCAAGAACAGGAAGCTAATAAAACCAAGAGTTCATTGATAGCAAGACCTAGAATTTATTTTTTCTAAAATCTAAAGTCTACCAATAGTAAATAATTTTGTGGTGCTCTGAAATTAAATAATTTCAATTTAGTATAAATAATATAAATTAAAGTAAATTTAAAATAAATGGGTCAAATATATGGTGTTCTTAATTCTCTAGGACCTTAAATTGTATGATTGGACAGATGAAGCATATCTTGGCTGCAGAACAAAAGAAAACAGATTTTAAGCCAGAGGATGAAAACAATGTTTTGATTCAGTATACTAACGTGAGTAAAATAAATCAATATACTAGTAATATCTACTATGCTTAACATTTTCATTGGTGTATCTTACTGTGCTCTAAGTTTTTTTCTTTTATACTTAGAAATTAATGAGATACTATATGTATTTTCTCCTTAGCTAAACTGATACACATTTCTATGTAATAAGTGTAGAAAAAATTTTACAGGCCTGTGTTAAAGTCTGTGCTTATGTAAGAAAGCAAGTGGAAAAGATTAAAAATTCCATGGATGGGAAGAATGTGGATACAGTTTTGATGGAACTTGGAGTACGTTTTCATCGACTTATTTATGAGCATCTTCAACAATATTCCTACAGTTGTATGGGTGGCATGTTAGCAATTTGTGATGTAGCTGAATATAGGAAGTGTGCCAAAGACTTCAAGGTATGTATTCACAAATATAAAACTTGTAAATAGGCTCAAGAACATAAGTCAGACCATTAAAAACGCATGCTGACTTACAATCACTACCGAAAAGTTTAAAACTTGCTGATATTATAGTGAGACAGATCTAACATTTCCTAACTAAAAAAGTATTGTTCTAATCATATTTTCAGTCAAAATACATTTTTGCTCTGTGCTGTATTTTAGACAAGGCCATATTTCAATTCGACAGTCCAAATGACATTGTTGACTTTCATAACTGATGCTGTATATATCACACATCAGGAAAATACGTTCTTTCTTCGTGTACATCTCTCTGAAATCCCTTAAGGCTTAAATTATTTAAGAAAAGTGCTAAATTAATGGTAACTAATTCTAATCCACAGAAGTATAAATGACTGTTACTATTGAAGGAAATTGACATGGACCTTTTCACCTAAAAAGATTATATCAAGTTTATGTAATGTCTGAAATATTTGAGTTTTGACACTTTCAGGAGCTTTTACAATTTTTAATATTGAATTCTCCCACATTAGTAAGTCTTAATAGTATATAAATGAGAATAATATATAAATGAGAAACTAATTGTAAAACTAGAAATTGTTTTGTTTCAATGTTATTTTTTTTTTCTCCTCTTATTTCAATTCAGATTCCACTGGTATTACAGCTCTTTGATACTCTGCATGCACTTTGCAATCTTCTGGTAGTTGCCCCAGATAATTTAAAGCAAGTCTGCTCAGGAGAACAACTTGCTAATCTGGACAAGAACATTCTTCACTCCTTTGTACAACTTCGTGCTGACTATAGATCTGCCCGCCTTGCTCGACATTTCAGCTGAGGTTGAATTTACAAGGGAAACATGTTGTACTTCAGCAGGCCTTGGTTGATGGAAAGCACAGGAGATTTCTTAATGACACAGCCAACATTTTATGGAAAAATGACTGTTTGGAGAAACAGCAGCCATACTTACCCTTGAGATTTTATTTGAAATTTGGACACTACTAGCCATATTTTGCTTTTTCCCCTTAAGTTGAATTTTAATTCCATTCTTGAACTTATAAATTTCAAATTCTAAATTTCAAATTCTGTGAACCTACATGTCACTGTTTTCATCCTGGAAAATGTTGGTGTCAGAAGACAAATGAGATGTTATCAGTGTTCCAGTTGATATTCTTTAACATATTCTATTGGAAAATTTCACCATCCTATTTTGCATTAATGGTAAAATAGAGCAAAACTGCATTTATTATTTACCAATTTTTAATGACCTTTTCAGCACTTGATAATTGTTAGACAAGTTATTTTAGGTTTTCCTAGAGAACTTTTGCCTCTTTCAAAAGGTTAATAATTGAGCATAATTTCTGTAGTTGGTTAATTGGCTTTTTTCCTGAGGTACAACAATAATATTCCAAGAAAAATGTTACAAACTAAACTAAAATGATGAAATGTTTTATGTAGATATTAGGAGTGGATCAGAATACATCTGCTTTCTGGGTAAAAAAACTTAAAGTTTACTATTTCTTATTTCGTAAACAGATTTTAAGCCAATGCTAGCAAGAAATTAGTAAGTCTACCTTATTTTATATTTCACTTAAGATAAGGTGGAGGACCTTAACTAAAGGACCACATTTATTCATTATTTTAATATTACAAGGGAAGTAAAATGAGGTTTAGTCTAAATGGTGAATATGAGAAATATTGACAGTGTTTAGCAACAATGCAGTCCTTTAAGATTTCTTTCTTAATGCTAAACTGGAATAAGATGGGATGGCTAAACATAAGTAATACATTTTAAGGGGAATCAGGAATTGATAGATAGCATTATATATTCTAAGTCTGGAGATGAGCTTTGTAAAAACTGGTTGCTTTTCAAATCTATAGTTTCTGTCATCTTTTTCAAGGCATTTCTGAAGCAGTTCTTACTGATTGGAGTTAATTGAATTGGCTTAATATGGTGACATAATAAATCACTTATAAAATTTTAAACATCAAGTGGAAATTTAGAAAGGCTATTACTCTACAATTTCTATAAACTTGCTCTGCAAGAATTCATTCTTATCTATATGTAATGTTTCAACTTCCTTTGTGGTGTTCATAATCTTCTAGGAACAGATAAAGTTTAATGTTCAGCTCATTCTTGGCATTTTTTTTCCTTTAATGTAGCCTTGTAGCCTTTTTGGCCTAATTTTGGCAAACTACTTTTCTTTTAAGACTATGTTTCTGAATGGTCATCAATTTTACCAAAATTTCCACGTCCAATGCTAGCTACTGTTTAAATTACTATTGACAGAATATTCTTCATTTTCTGTTTAGCCCAGTGTTATCAAGGTAAGGAAGAGAAACGAAGTATGCCCACTTTTATCAAAGCATTTTAGTAAATCGTGGCAGTTTTAGAAGGCTGTCTAGTTTTCTATTCCTTAGCCAAGGGAAGCCAGAACAGATTTTGGATACTAGAGAAAGTCATATGCTTGTACTATTGCCATTTTAGAAAGCTCTGATGTGAATTCAAATTATACCTCTGTTACTGAAAGCCAACAGTTTTAAAGCAGTAGTTTTACTGGCCATTTGAACTCTTTGTACACAGTGTCAATTTGTAAAAAAAAAAAAAAAAAAAAAAGAAAAGAAAAAGAAAAAAATCTTAAATAAAACATGAGAGAACATTTTAAGACTTCCAAATCAGAGAAGTGCTTCAAATTATTTTGTTTGGACTAATTTTTAAAATGTAAAGCATATACATGTTGCTTAGATATTTTGTTAATTATTATTTCCATGCTTGAGTTTTGTGCAATATTTTCCATTATGTCCATTGACCAAGGCAGTGACAAAGAAAACTCTTAAGTGAATACTTAACTTAGAAGTGTTAATATTAATGTTTAATAAACAAATTCCCTGCAATTGTTTTTTTATTTCACTCCATTTTTACATCTTTAGGATATGTGTACTTAATTTTAAAAATTATTTCTATTTAAGTTTTCAAGATGTTCTTTATTTTTTATAGCATAGGTCTTCTCACTTCCTTTTTTTTGGAGAAAGATATAACTAAGATTAGAAATTTAACCTAAACTGATTATCTTACTCTAAGAAAAAAAAAATTGTTGTATAAACCCCTATGCATTACTTGCATTCTTTGTATTCCAGTTTTTAAAATATTTTGTATATTTGTGGCCACTATAAAATTTTGTCCACAATTTATGACTCAAAAGAGATGATCAATAAGTAAGGTGTTTTTCATGTGCACATGGTAAAATTTTAGGTAGCAATAGTGGAACTTTTTTTTTTTTAAAGATTTTATTTATTTATTTTACAGAGAGAGACACAGTGAGAGAGGGAACACAGGCAGGGGGAGTGGGAGAGGGAGAAGCAGACTTCCCGCCGAGCAGGAAGTCCGATGCGGGGCTCGATCCCAGGACCCCGGGATCATGACCTGAGCCGAAGGCAGAGGCTTAACGACTGAGCCACCCAGGCGCCCCGCAATAATGCAACTTTGTATATTAGTAACTTTAGCCAACATTGAATAAGGAGAATCTTACAGTTTTCTGCAGTTCCACATGAGCTAACAGGCAATATTTAGGTAATGTTTTGAAGTTGAAAATAGGCTCCAAAACCCTGCAAATTATTTTTCTTCAACTTGAGTATATTATGTTTGCATAAAATGGTACAGAAAGTGAAATACAGAACACAAGTTTAAGAAGGAAGTCTAGCATATGTAAGTTATGATATTGAAAATGACAGTCAACCAGAGTAGATAAATAGTCCTTATGAAGAATTATTAAATAACGCTTGGATGGATCTTTAGATATAGTTGACTATCTGCCTATTTCAAGACAAGTATTTAGCCTCATTTTGAGCATCACCATGGTTGCAAGTCCCTAGCACCTTCCCATTTTAAAAAAGGGCTGCTAAGTATGTTAACTTATATATTTAAATGATTTTCTTTCCTCTTTCACTTTAAATATTTCACTATCTGAATAGCAGCCTTCTGACTTAACGGTGAAATAACTGAATTACCAGATTGACTCAAAGTGGAGAATTTACTGCTTCCCTAAAATGCCTTTATTTCATCTATGATGGTGAATATTTACAAGTACCCAGATAAAGAGATTTGGTTCCTGAAATGCCACAAAACCTTTTAAGGTGGTCATGTTTATAAGGTAGTGGCTAAGGCATGCTTGAACAACTGTTTTATGAGAATAAGCAAAGTTCACTCAGTGCATACTTTGTCGTAGACTTAAAAAACTCACCTCTGGGAATTTAATTTTTTTTAATATGAAATTATGCTGCATATTACCCATATATTACTCTGACTCAGAAGTGTAGTTTCCTAGAAGTGTACTGAATATTTCCGATTTCTTTTGGAAAATTTGATATCAAAAGCACTTTATGCTTTTATACGATTAGTTTAACTATATTCAATTCCTTTAGTACTTCTCTCTGCTTGAGAAACTCGGTTCTAAAATACATTGTGTACTTTGGAGGAAAAGACCAGTCCATGTTGTTAGAGTAAATAATTCTACCTAAAGTAAAAACAGCAATTTTTAAATTTTGATGCATAATAAAAATAATTATAGCTACATTTATCTACTCAAGTCCCATGCACTATGCTAATCATTTGATTTGTATACATGATCTCATTAGATTCCAAAGCAGCCTTAGGAGTTGGGTACTGTTACCTTCATTTGACAGATGAAACATCTAAGCCACAAAAACGTTAAGTAGACCTACTCAAGGTCTATAGCTAATAAAAGGCTCAGATTGAAACTTAAGTCTTTCTCACTCACTGTTTATGTTCTGTACAGTCTCCTTGTTGAACGTTTAAATAGGTCCTTTGTTTTGATAGGCTCATTAGTTTTTGCTTAATCTAATTCTCTTCTCATCCAATGTTTGGTTCTCACTGTAATGTTTAGACTATGAAGTTGATACACAGGATCAGTATCTAATTTACTGTTGGATTTTTTAATGTGCCCAGTGTATAATCATACTTTTTAAATTTGGTTTTTAAAATTTTATAAGTGGTCATGAAATTTTAATTTAATATTGTTTGTATTTAATAGAAATCATTCTATCAAAAAGTTCTCTTTAGTGAGTATTATTTTACATAATTATAGTACTATGCTTAATAATTTTGTATCATTTTATAACAGAAGTAAATGACAACTCTAGCTTGGAAAATACGAGGAAGTCAGTATTTCTGCCTTCAAAAACAGACTATTTTAATGTCATAAGTTTGCCAATTCTGTTAATTATTTAATGCATTTGGTAGTTTTTAATGACTAATGTTGGAGTGAAAATATAGGGAAAACGTACTCAGTGTATTAGCAATAGATAGCCATTTTCATGTAATCAAAAATTGCATGTTTAATCTTCTAAAAATTGCCTTAACTCTTTTATTCTTACCACTGATCAGTCCTTTCTCTTTCTAAATTTAGGGGAGAAACAACTCCTCAAGTGTATATGGGAGAGAAACCTGACACAGTAGAGTGTAAGAATTTTAATTGATGGTTTGGAGCAGTTAGGCTGATAACCCTGGGCTTAACAAGATTGATATTTTTTAAAACTTGGCCCTGTGTACATCAACAGTATTATTTGGGTGGTAACAGTAAACTTCAGTTCTTGTGATAAATATCACTTTTAGGGGGAGGGAAAAGTAATTAACCATACTTGTTCATTTTCTAAGTGTTTTAGATGGTTGCAGTCTGCCTCACCGTACAAAGCCAATTTAAATATGAATATAGCACATCATACTCCAAACAGCAAACAACCTCAGAGGAAAGTCATTTATTCAGAAGGCATAGATTTGTGCTAGACAGCAATGATGCATTACAAATATATAATTATTTGCACTAATATTTGAGCAGGTGGAATGGATTAGAACATAGTCAACATTATGCTGCTGATAACATGTATTTTTCAATATTAATATGTACTGTGCAACATGTATTAAAATTGTCAATAATGCATTTTAGCCAAGATACTAATATTTATATTACTATGTTGAAGAAACAGTATCCAACTGAGCCACTTTTAATTTAAAAGTCTGAAACTGGAATTAAGTTTACTTTGAAAAACCACTTAAATTACTTTATAATCATGGGAAGGTCAGTAAAACATAGAATTATCAGTGACTGGTGACTTAATAGGAAGAAGTGTGGAGGGTTAAGAATAGGGCTAGGAATCTGCAGTGAATAAGTTAACTTTCATTTAGTTACAGCTCAGATGAGTGACTTCCTTTTATTTTCACTATTAGCAATCTTAAATGAAGGAAAATGTCTTATCCCTTCCAGAGTATCTTCGTACTAATACTCTAAGTCTGAAGATTGAATGGAACCAACTCCAAGGAATTAATCTCCAGTGGTGGACTTTCAAATTTTTTAGATTAAACTTGGAAAGGTAGGAAGCCTTCTTGATGCCCCTGTAATCTTAAATAAGCAGGTACCTTTAAGTGAGACCATCACTTTTTACCTGCCTATCATTTTAATCTTTTATACTGTGGGTAGATTTGGTTCCTTTGAACTCTGGTATTTTGTTGTGGCAGTTCTTTCAAATCTGCAGCTTTTTGCTATAGAGAATATTGTCTAAATGGAATCTGGACAGTGCTGACCTAAAGAGAACTGTGAAACTACCTCTAAGTATATTGTTTGCAAATGCTGTGTGCTATTTAGAGGATTCACATGAAATTATGTGAAAATACTTTATAAGGAGTAATACTAAGTGCCTCTGTATTAGGAGTCTCCAGTAAAATGTACTTTCCTTTTTTGCCACAAGGGGGAGAAGTTATTTTTATAATAATACCTACATTTTTGTTTGATTTTAAAAATAGAACTCACATAGTTTCTCTCTACTGAATAGCACCTATGAACATATCACTGTCCTAATAGGAAGAATGTGTGTTTGTGTGTGTGTATGTGTGTTTAAATAAGATTGTGAAAGTCATGTGAAAAATTTCTGGGTCAGTTAATGACATAAAACTAAGACAGTTTTGAAGAACTTGTATGTTCACAGTGGACACAGGAATTGGACAAAGTTCATCATCATTAAAATTATGTTTTTGGAGTTATATATCTCATTGAATTACTTTATCAGCTCTTTAAGAATAATCTCTTGATTAGTTTTCTGCATTCTGCTTTTTAAAGAAAAAATTTTGAAACAATTTCAAACTTAAAGAAAGGTTGTAAATACTGTACAAATAAAATTTTTCCGCTTTGAGAGTAAGTTGCTGTCATGATGCCCTATCACCCTACAGTACTTTTATATTTCCACAAAGAAAGAGTTTTCCCATGTAACCATAATACAACCATCAAAATTAGGAAATTAACACATATTACTCCTTCAGACCCTATCCAATTTTCATTAATTGTCCCAATAATGTTGTATAAAGATACAGTTCAAAATCACATGTTGCCTTAGGTTGCTGTATCTCTTGTTTCTTTCACTCTGGAACAGTTCCTCAGCCTTTCCTTGACTTCTGCTACCCTCGACTTTTGTAAGATTACAGGCCAGTTATTTTGCAAAATGTCTTTAAATTTGGATTTACCTGTTTCCTTATGATTAGATTCTAACTGTCTGTTCTCATTGCATTCTGTTAGGTAGTGCACAATTTCATTTTGCCCCATTTCTGATGATGTTCATTTTGATCACTTGTTTACCTATCAGGCTGCTCCACTATAAAGTTACTGTTTTTTTCTTTTAAGTATTTTTTGGGGGATGTAGTTGAAGCTATGTATATATCCTGCTAATCAAATTTTCCATTTATTGATACCAATATAAATTCATGGTTTTCCAGTCAATGGATTATAATCTGTTGTTTATTTTGAATCTCAAATTGTTCCACATTTAGCCAGTGCAAGCCCCTTCACGTTGGCTCCTATGCCCTTTTGATATGTTGCCATCATATTTTAAAGCACTTCCTTACTTTTAGGCACACAGGATTCTCAAACTCATCTTGTACTTGCCTTGCCCAGCCCTAGAATCAGCCATTTCTCTACCATTTAGTGGGACTTGGTATTTAGAAGCCATGATTTGTGCATGAGATGAGCTTATCATGGCTGAGATTTCACTGTCACTACTCCCTCTCAGTGGACAGTGCTAGGGGGTTTTATGTGTGTTTATACACACACACATATTTTTTTTAACTTACCCACACATATACTCCCTCTCCTATGTGACACCCTTCTCACTCCACTTGAGCTCCAGTACCCCATATTGGGTTTCTCTCCTCTCCCACTCTGGAGGGTTTCCTCACCCCATTCAACCACCAAAGCTTTGGCTTTAGGACAAAGGGGAATGATAGTGGTCATTACAGAAAACATGTAAAAAATCTAAATAAAAATTACTCATAATTTTATCACTCAGAAACAATTATATTTTGGTGTGTTTTCTTTTACTGTGGTGAGCAAATTAGTAAAGTCAAATTGAGAACGGTTAAAATGTTTATACCAAAACATGGCACTTTTCATTTTGAAGGAATTAAATTTGAAGTGCATGTCATATGTTTTTTTTTTCCTACTGTGAGTAGTTACTAATTAATAAGAGTACATCAGAGAAACTGATTGTGTGAATGCAAATTTGACCATTGATGACTGAATACCAATAGGATATTTTTACTAATAAAGTTCAGAGGGAAAATGATCATACAGTTGTCATTTAGCAGGCCAAAAAATATATATGTTAAGTAAGATAGACTTTATGTGAGAAAAGGGTCAATATCTGGGATGAATTTAATACATGTTATAATGAACTGCATGTGAAATAGGAGGCTGTGCATGGACAAATTACTCAACTCTCAGTTTCCTTGTTAGGTCTATGATTACCAAAATTCTTTAATTCTAAATGCAAGAAGATGCAGGCATTCTATTAAGAGCTTATAGTGATGTCAGAAATAGATTAGCTCAACAAGTCACCTCTGAGCCCAACTGAGAATATGTGAGAGTCACCTCCTCCCCTAATGCTACCAGCATGCAATGACCAAATACCATTGTGATTAATAGCTAAGGCTCTTGATCAGACAAATGGCAGATGTGCATCTTGGCTTTGTCACTTACTAATTCTGTGACCTTGTGCAAATGTTGTAAAGTGGGGAGAAGAGATATTTGTGATTGTTTTTCATTCGCACTGATTTCTATGAGCTTTTTAAAGGAGTTTCCAATCCTCCGAGGGGTCACTTCATTCATTCATTCTTCATTTGATAAACATTGAAATTCTGTTTTTGCCAGGTACTGCATTAGAAGATAAGGATATTAAGATAAAAAGATCCTGCCCTCAAGAGTCTAGCCTAGTGAGAGAGTGTATGCAACCAATCATAGTGCTCTGTAATAAGTACGGTAATAGTAGCATGGAACCAGGTGCTACAGAAGCTCAGAGGAACTGTTTTCAAATTTGTGGGCTGGTAGGGGGTGAGGAGGTAATTAAAGCTTCTCAAATTACTATTTATTAAATACCTACTAAAGCAAGCACCTTGCTAATAAGTACATTTGTTATTTCACTTAATTCTCACACTGCAAGGTAGATACTATTATTATCCCCATGTTACAAATGAGGGAACTGAGGCACAGAGAAGTTCGATAACTTGACCAAGGTTTTGTATCTAAAAAGTAATAGAGTCAGAATTCAAACTGTACCCATAAGCTCCCAGAGCCAGTTGTGTAACCACTTTGTTTTATTACCTCTAAGAAGATTCCCCAAAAGAAGGTTACATTTCAATTGAGCCTTAAAAGGCAAGGAACATTTCAGGGGATGGGGCATTCCAGATAGAAGTGGCTCACACTTTCAGGGGTGTAGCACACAAGTCATTGGTATAGTCATTGAATGGGAAGACTGTGAATAGAGTTCCCACTGTGTAATCTATCAAAAAAAGGCAAGTAAAGGTGGAATACTTGGGTCAGGGTTAGCTTATTAAGAATCTTAAATGTTATGTTAATTGTTGCTTTATCATGAAGATGGCAGAACCAACCATTGATGAATAAGCAGGTAAATGACATGAACAGCTCTAAAAAGATGACTGATAGGAATGTATGCAGTGGATGAGAGGGGAGAAGAGAGCAGAAATGAGGTTACTTGCTTTAACCTGGAAGGTGAAGGCCTGAACTAGGGGACACACAGGAATGAAGAGGAGGTGATGAATTCAGGAAACACTTGGAAGATTAAACCAATACGACCTATCTATTGTTGCTTATTGGATGTGGAGGGCAAGGAAGAGAAGAAATCAAAGATGATTCCAAGATTCTTAGCTTATGTATCTTGGTGAATGTTAACATTATCAGTTTACACAATAATGTATAATATCATATACCTTAGCAAAAATAGGTTTAGAGGGAAAGTCAAAGAGTGCTAGAACATCTATTCTTTCACCAGGAGAACTTGGTTAAGGTCATATAAAAAATTTAAACTATCTTTAATCTATTTTTTCAGAAATACTGGAAGTTGTAACAGAATAAAAAAATTCCATTCGCTTTGAAACATAGGGGAATGATTTTGAAATCTGAATAATAATATTTGATGATTGTATAGTTGTTGAGTTTTTGTTTTTTACTTTAGGCAAAAAAAAAAAAGTTTTCTTAGCATTTTAGTGTATAGATATATTGGGTAGACTCAAATGGAATGACACCTGTCTCCCTCCCTCCCCATCAAAGTCAGTCCTTTAGAAAGTTTAAATTGGGAAGTATATAGATGACTTCCTATGATTGGATCATTTACATGTTCTATAATTAACATCATCTGACTTCAAAAGATAAGGCTCACCATAGTATTTCCTTCATATAGGTGGTTAAGACCTGTGTATATATAATATTTTTTCTCTATTCTCATTTCTAAAATAATGTGTATGTACTATAAATACTCCAAACATGTCAGAAATATACAGTGTAGTATAACCAGAAGTATAGTGTAGTGTGCTGCTTGCCTGGCTTGGTCTACAGAAGGTCAATTTTTAAAAAATATTGAAATTCTAACGATTCCAACACAACACCTTCAATTCCCCCCAAACCTAAAGTTGTAGTGTTAATACAGCTTTACTGCATGCTTGGGGGATAACCAAAGAACAGCTCCAAAAGTGATTTACTCTACCATTGGCCATGATTTTTCTGAGGTTCATGAGCCCCAAATTCAATATCAGGGACCCTGTGGAGTTTCTATCAGGCTCCCAGATGCTGAGGCCAATTTAATGTCCATCAAAAAACTCTCCCAAGAACTTTCATTCTCCAAATCCAGACCCAGAGAAGTTCTTTCTGTCCCCCTCCCACACTCCTAATTCCAAGGCCCTTTCATTTTTCTGCTTTAAAATGATTGAGAGAGGGTCTAGAAGGTCAGTTACAGTAGAGTGGATTTCTCAAAGCCCAAGTCAGTTCATTTTAATACCACCACGCAGGAGCACTGAGAGTCATCTACCTAAATCTACATATAGGAAAGCATTTTTCCAATGTTTCAGGAGCCCAGCACAGCCAACACCAACCACATTCAGCTATTAAACAAAACTAATGATGATAGCTAACACTCATGAAGCATTTACTTTGTGCCAGATGTTATTTTAATGATTTTACATCCAATCTACACAAAAACTCTGTGAATAGCTGCTAATACTGTCATCATTTTATAGATGAAAGAGTCAAGGCATAGAGAAACCCAGTGCAAATTTACCCAGGTAGGGAAAGGTAGAGCAACAATTAAACATAGCAGTGAGACATTGGTGCCCATAACTCTTAACTCTACCATGTTATATTTCTGAGAAAATCAGCTACTCAGATTATAACATCTGGATTTAGACTTCTGATGACCTCACATGTTTCTTCAAGATCAACTGGTGAAGAGTTTATCTTGGATAATTTTCCCCAAACAAAGGGTATATCCATCTGAGATTATAATGGGTTTATTTTCTCCAGGAATCCAAACTATCCAGCAACCCCCAAAAGCTAGATCATTTATAAAATGAATGAATCAGAACACTGAAAAAGTGAAAAATCCCAATAATCCTGCTCAGAGTTCAACTCTGTTAATAATCAAGCCATGGATTTTGATTGGTATAACTTTTCAAACTTGTTCTTACCCTTAAATTAATATTTTTCATACTTCAATATGCAGATTGGACATTAATATGGCCCTTCATAGCGTGAGCAGAGGTTGGAAATACCTAAATTAACATGAAGAGTTGGGAGAGTGAGCCTTTCCTTTCTTACTTAAGCCAGTGGGTAAGAATTCATTGGCCAGTTGATAAT